TTTCAGTTATTGGACTTGTTCTTATCCATTGATAAATCTACTTAATCTCCCTTGCTCTAGGCAGCAATCAGTGCATTTCAGACATACTCTGACAAAATCTCAGAAGGAAGATTTTTCAAGGCTTGTACTGCAATAACTCAAAGTGGTTTTACTGCAGCCTTTATCATTAGCAAGAAGCTTGTAATTTAGGAATTATAGTTCATTAAATAAATTCTTCATAAAGAAAAGCAATGTTAAATATGCAAAACAAAACAAAAAACCCACATATTTTCTAATTCTGACATCTGATCTTGTTAAACAGAAACTGAACTATCTGCTCAAACAAAATCCTTAAAGAGAGATGGTACCCTAGTAGAGAAAGCCAAGTAATTCCCCAAGTCATTGAAATTACAAGCAGTAACTGCAGCTGATGTATTTGTATGTGACGTCTTAGCTTCCAGGAATTTATTGTTGTTCCAAGAGCCTAAAAAAATATACATCAATGAATCCAAATACTCAAGTTCTCAGTTAAAGTCTCCGCTATATTCCACTCAGTAGAGGAACTTTGATTTGTTTCAGATGAAGGTTTACACATAGCAATTATTTCCTTTGGAGCAGACTAAGTAAGGATAGAAATTCATAACTACACAGTAGAAGTTGGTATCTGGCTAGCTTTTAATATCCTTAAAAACCTGGACTGACCGTATGAGTTTCTATGTATCTTGCACTAGAGGTGGGGAAAAGGGGCCAAGTTAAATATCAACAAATTGAGCATGGAAAGCAATGTATCCAAGAAATGTAATGGAGGCATTGTAAAAAAAGAAAGAAAGAAGCAGCCAATATGTGACAGTTACTGTGCAGAGCAAACTTTGCTCAGCTGTCATTGTTTTTCCTCACGCTATGGTGCTTTAAATCATTTTGCAGTAAGCACTGACTTTAAGTAGGGATTACTGTAAATGAACAGGCAGCTGAGGTGAGACACCAATTGGATGCAGGGCCTGCATAAGCCACGTTCACCTTACACTTGTATGGGGTAAAAAAACACACTCTGGGAAGCACTGATCAGAAAGAGGAAACTTGGCAACCATGAGGAATTCACCCATATCCATTTCTCTAAGAGAAATTTCTATTGCCTGGTCTTCATGATCCAGAGCATAAGTAATAGGGATTCCCTTGCCATCTTCCTCTCCTTTTTATAATTATGGGAAAAAAAAAAACCATCACTAATTCTGTAAAGTTGTTGTTTTTTGTTTTTTTTTTCCCCCATCGATTTGCTCTAAATGCCAGCTGTTTCAGGTACAATTAAAGCAGATTAGATCTCTCTGAAATTAATTGGCAATGAAGTGACTCCACTGAAACATGACTAAGTCCTAACCAGAAACTCGAAACACAATCAGAATGGATGGATTTCACAAAACAGAAGGTTATTGTTGCACTCTATGAAAGCTGCATTTCTTGTGGCCTTTCTCCTTTTTCTGCTTCATAACACAGCTGAGGATGTTTTGTGAGGTAACAGACTCATTGATCCAATTTTCCCAGCTCTTCCTGAAACATCCATGTTTCCTCCTACCAAACTTTTTTTACACGTTGAAACTGGAAAGCACTACAGAACTGCAGTCTGGAATAAGAGCTTTGTCAAGTACCACGCTTACTTTATTTCCACCTTCTTCAAGACCCTAATCCATCTGTATTGCATCTTACACGCACATGGTGGGCCTGTCAGATGTCGGTGACTAGCAGAATTGTACGAAACCACTATTCTCTGGGGAGAAAACATCACATTGATAGTTTCCTTCCAGCCATTTATTTTAAATAGTAAACAACATGTTTCCTTGTATTAAAAGTTGTTTTCTGGAGAATGTGCAGTTTGTGGTCTGCACTTTCATGCTAATACACGTTTGTGTTGCACATCTGTCTACTCAAAACTGCTTACAACTTAGTGCTGTAATTGAATTTTTCCTGCTCCACTGTCTGGTATAACAGTCATGCAACTGTACCATGCATGCAGGTAACTGGCAAACAACTGGAAAACTACTGAAGATAACTACTAGACAGATTGTAAGAGCGATAACTAAGACTTCCAGCAGATGCAATTGCTTTTGTACTTGCCGTTTTAGAAGGTATAAAAACCACAGCTAAAAAACAGTAAAAAAAAAAAATACAGCAGCTAGCCTGGGTTCAGCTGTCACTAACAGCCTCTGAAGAAAGATGCTTACAACTCCTGGCAAAAAGTGAGGGTGCTCTGTGGCCTTTTTCAAGTATGATTTATTAACATCCAACTAAGTTGGTTACAGAGACAAAAATGTAAATGAAATTGTGCATCAAGGTGCTCCAACGTTATTACAAATTTTTGCGTTAAGTGAAGCAGAAAACAGGAACTATGATGACTACAGAACATTTTCTCAAAAATCTGAAAGCTGGTGGTCATCCTAACACAGAAGATAACTTTCTTCATCCCAAAATCATTAACGCTCTATCAAAACACACAACAAAGTCAGTATTTAGCAGCACTGCATATGTAATACCTCATACATGTGGCATGTTTTTCCAGTACTGGAACAAGTAAAACACTCAACATAAATACAGTTCTCAAGAATACCAAATATTTTCACCATCACCCCAGACATGTGAAGGTAAAAGAGCTCAGAATTTCTAGTGGATCAATCTCCAAAACTTTCCCATAAGTTGTAATACAGTTTTGTTTTATACAGCAGTAACACCTAATTGACGACTTGTATATATAAGAAAAAGAATCACTTAAAATATTTTTTTAACATACAGCAACTATATTTATGTGGGAAATTTCTCTTATTGCTTTCAAAAACTACAGCAAGAACAGCATCAAAGAACCGAGCAGCACAATACTGTGTTTGGTGGTAAGTTACAGCAATTACTAAGTTTTAATAGATAAGCCAGATAAGATTTGCAAATCCTTAACAACTCCAGCTGATGGACTGAGTTGCACCCACCAGCAGCTAGAAGATAGAAAAGATGAGTTTATTTATAGTATGCAGAATCCATGAATGAAAACATACCTAATCTAAAGAGCCTTCCATTTGAGCATCGCTCCTTTGAATAGCACCTCCCACTCCAGCTCATACAGGCTGTACTCAGTTATGTGAAGAAGATGGATTTCACCCTTCACTCTTACGTAGGTGTGGCAGTCCAGGTTTTGTATTCCTCTTCGGCATGCCCCCACTTCCTAGGAGTTACATACAAAATCTGAACAAAACAAAATTTTCAGCTCTGAAAAGTTGATCATCCAGAGACGTAATAGAACAGATTTACACAACAGCAGATGCAAGCACATTAACTAGGAGTACGCTGAGCAGATGTAGCTGCACCGTTACCAGGCTGTGGTCTGACACCAGAGTGCCAGCCTGCGAAAGTCCTGTTTGCAGCCAAGGGAAAAGTACAGAAATAGGCCACGATGTTTATAGGAAAAAAGTAACTGTTTTGTCATTTAAAAGCTTGTCAGAATGGGATGTTCTACTACTTTCCAGGATTTTCTTTTTAATAAAGAGAAAATAGGACATTGAATAAGGACCTTTAGATGTGAGGGACCTAAAAGCAGTGTAAACAGCTGAGGGAAATTGAAGGGCAGATATTTCATTTTTTAATTTAAGAACAGCCCTAGCCCCATAGCTGCCTCTGGTTGTATATTCCTTTGTGTTCCTTTCTGTCCAATGACCTCAACAGCCTGGAACTCTTGCAGGGACACTGACCAGTAAGCTGCCAAATAATAAGGTGACTGTGTCTGCAACCACCACCTCCCCCAAGAGCCAGCTTCAGATCCTTCAAAGGAGTACAAGTCATGCATAAATGTAGATTATCCAAGCTCTGTATGAAGAACCTAAGTACTTGACTGGATCTGTACTTCAAAAGCACCCAAAAAATAGATTAATACAGGCAAATTAACACAAAGCATATATCAGAGAGGAAAGATTAAAAAAGAATGCAATGATGAATGGCACACACTACATCCACTCAGTCTATACAGCACTTTGTACTACCAAGAGTAGTGTCCTAAGCGAGTTAAACTGTTGTTTTTTAATACCAAACTTTGCACAAAATGTTCAAGCCTGTAAATCTGGAAGTACAGCTGTGGGTTTCTGTCTCTCTAAACACTATTTCCCTATGACCTTTTCTCTCTTTGCTGTGCAATTTGAAAACTGAGTCAGTGTAGTAACACTTGAAGGCATGAGCTGTTCCATTACCTTGATGTAAATCTGTAGTAAGCTTTTTGCTCTGTGAAGGGGTGCACAGAGAAGGAGAGAACTAGATGAGTAGTGCTCAAACTGTCCCCCCACAGTATCTTAAGCAATGCTTACAAAGTCATCAAGTAAGTGTTAAAACAGGAGGCAATGGTCCTCAGGAAATTTTAAGATTGATGCACTGAGCGGTACAGTTTGGGAATCACTGCTGTGCAGGAAAGAAAGCAGTCAGTCATCTAATACTTTATTTCTACCACTCGGTAGAAATGTCAGTTACTAAACACAACAGATCTCCTAGTGCATTGCTGAAAGAAAATGGAAGTTATCTGGGGAAAACCAAATTTCATATTTCACCAAGAATAACTATAGAGTATATTAAAGTTTGTGAATGATTAATATATTTTTAAACAGAAATACACAGAAATAACATCAAGACAATTTCTTTCCAATTCTTAATATATAGTTGACAGAAGCTCAGCAATTAAACCCAACTCTTTCATACAAACATAGGCAGGGACAACTATACTGCAGCTGGAAATATTGGCCAGAGGATCATTCACCATTGGTTACACCAGATAAAAGCCTAGCATAATCTTGGGCATTATTTTACTGAAGAAAATAGTGAAATTCTGATGTTTGCCTTCTTGATAAGGGAATTTTGCTAAGATTTTCTGTAAGGCACTTCCCAGTTCACTGCTCCTCGTCTTTAACTAAGTGTCTTTTAAAGATTTCAGACTGTAAGATACAGGAAAACAATGCCAGTTGGGTTTCTCAAGAACTGTGACTCAAACATCAAAATGAGATGAGTTTTGTTTAACACCCACAGACTTTAATGCATTACAGTTCGTTAACTTTGTCCCTAGCCCCTTTATTTGAATGCTATTAACTATTAGTTCATATGACAAAGTATGGGGAAATCCACTCCATTCACAGAAAATGCAAACCAGCAATCAGATCAGACAATAATCACAACAGCTGCCAAATTGAACAGAAGTTCAATGCATCCATCACAAATGTTACTCCTTTTCTCAAAAGCATTTTTACACTCCTTTCTCTTACCATCCTTTGTTGTTAAATGCATGTAATTATTAGTTATAGATGGTAATTGCAAACAACAAGAATAATTACAAATATCCACTCACTTCTGTGTCAAGTTTTGATAATACAAGAATAAAACAAGAAAGATTCAAGTCATGAAGAGATCTTCATTTTCCTTGATAAGCCAAACAGCTTCCAAAGGTTAAGATTCCCTTCTGAATAAAAGCCCAGATTTTGTTTTCATGCTGACTTGAAACATGCCTTGTTGCAAGCTGCTGGAGTGCTAGCTGAGTTTTTAAAAGACACATTAAGTATAAGAAAATATACTAACATTTTTGGTGATAAGTTACAGAAATGATAGTGAGCCCAGAGTTCCTGGGCAAAGTGACTAACAGTGAGAAAACATTTATCTGCCTGGGACACAGTGAAGCTTCAAGGTAGCAGAAAGCAAAACTTAAATATACATCTAAATTGATACCACAGATTTGGTTTAAAATGGAAGTTTTCATAGTATTTACTTCATGTTACAAGTATTATATTGATCAATTTTGATGGGTTTTCTTTAGAACAAAGCAGCACACAGTAAGCTGTAAGCTCTTCTAAGCTACTTGTCCTTCTAAGAATCACTCTTACCCATGCACTGTCCATATGTTCCAGTCATAGTTCACGTTAACAATGTTTAACACAGACAGGGTTTATTTTTTTTGAAATGGTATGTAAGAAAAAAGAGTGGTGGTGGACATTGATCTGCACCTGAAATCCGTGTTGATGACAGAGAGTCACAGATACACAGAACAGATTTGAAGAATCATGAGTCAGGCTTGAACTGCAGATAGGTTGGAATGCAAATTATTCTGTTAATGAACAAAGCATTGTGATTTCATGGAAAAGAAGATACTGCCCATTACTATAATCTTGACTCAAAGCAAGACTTCTGCTACATTTTTTTCCTGTTATATTTTAATCAGTGACTTAGTGCTTTCGCAAATCTATCTGAATGTATAAAATTACAGGAAAGAGATGCAACTGATTTAGTGCAAGACACTTGAACGTTTATCTGAATATAACAAACAAACAGAGGAAGATCAAAGATTCCATACATTTCTCCATAAGGCAGATGGTCATTTTTTAAATATAAGATCTTAAATATGTCATTTATTTCTTAAGAGGTAGAAAATATCAAAATACTAAGAAAAAATTTCCAGCTTAAAACAATCAGTTAGTTTGCTTACTTTTTAAAAAGTTTTACTGTTGCAGTTTTTAGGTTAATAAAAACAAATGAAGCTACGGAAGCACACGATTTCGTGCTCTGTATACATACTACTTCCTGCAGAAAGAGAGCTGCTTCATTTAGACAGTGCTCAAACATTATATACAAAAGATCTCCTCGTGCCCTGTTGGCAACTATAAATCTGAAGATTCTCAGTGGAAAATTTTGGCGATTCCTGATTTTCTAGAACTACTTTTAGCCAGGTACAGCTTATATTTATGACTTGATTCACTGATTTAACTGCAGAACTCCCCCTTCCAATAATGCTAGTAAGAAAGCTAATAGAAAGAAAAGCTTATTTAAATCTTTTCCACAAGCAGCAAAAGATTGTACTCAGGTTTCAGCACCAGCTGATAATCTGTTTTAGCAATTTAGACCAGTCCATAGACAGCTGAATTACCCACTGAACTGTGGAAGCCTACTTACAGTTGGAGTCATAAGGCTTAACGCTCGTTTCTCAGCACAGCTAGGAGACGCTGATGCTACTGTCTTCAATGCAACTCGATAAGGCATAAGTTAACTCTTAACTGACATTACTACACATTGGGAAAGTAGTGTAAAAGCTCCTCTTTTCCCTCTACTTGTTCATTCAGTGCTATTTATTAAATATTTTACAAAAAGAAGTTAGGGTATTTGTACATTCAAACAATCATTGAAACAGAGTAGAGAAAACAAATGAATTATCAGATTCTAAATTAAGCACAGTTCTGAAGATATGCACACTTGCACACATACACACTCCACACACATATAATATATGTGTGTATATATATATACACATACAAAAGTATATATATATATATATACTTTTTAAAAATCAGATCCAGGAATACAGCATGGAATATCTTCACTTGGCTCCTCTTTCACCAGAGGACAGGATTGTCCAGTTTGGAAAAACCCGGTTCTTTTCTAAGGTCCATGTAGGTTCCATTGCTCACCCAGGAGTCATCTTTGGATTTCCTATCAAAGATTAAACAGTTCTTTTTTAAACGTAAAGCTTATCTTTTCTATGTGTTTGGTGTGTGATGCAATGTAGCATGCACTACATACAGATACCTAATCCAGCCCATAAACCATTTGCAATGAAGCTCAGTACAACATTCAAACAAGGCGATATAGCTTGGTGAAGCTAATTGGTAGGTTTGGGTCTTGGGGAAATACAAAACACCCTTGTTTTGCTCTCCTGTGTCAGTCCTTAGCACTGAAAACTACACTCCAGGTTTACTTCATGGTCTCAAATGCCATCAGGCAGCTTTCCATAAGCTTCTGTAAGAATATGCCTTTTTAAAACCTGAACTGTCATTGACTCTGTCCTGACTGAAATGGAATCTGAAAGTTTCCTTTTTCCTCTCTGAAGGTGGCTCACCACAGCTGTTACACAAGGAGAGACACAGCTCTCAACCAAGAAGCAAGGCTCATCATTCCATGTGCTGTAACCCTGGATGCTCCAATCTTTTTAATGTAGTGTGCAGCATTTTTGAAAAAAACAACAAATTAATCTATTAAGTAAACCAGAACTTGTGATTTATTGACGGAATAAATCACTACTGAAAAGCAAAATGCATAATTCACATCTACTCTAATACTTGCTCATATTTTTGCTATACGGTAACAATATTTTTTATTCTGTTATTTAAACATATAGCACAAATCTCAGCTTTCAAATCCTCATCCTTATTTACATTCCTCATTGTGAATATACAATAACATAGTACTAGACCTTGCTTCTCTTCTGTCTGTTTAGCCTCCTGGAAGGAAAGTGTGCCTCCATTTCATTAGCTCACCAGCTCTTCTGACAGGCAGAAGTCTAAGCCATTTTCTTTTTGCATCTATTGTAAACATTTCTGTGTTTCTCCAAGTCTTACTCCTCATTAGTACTGTGTCTATCTAGAAAAACAATTAGTATCCCAGATCTGTTAATTATGACACATTCGCCCATACAGCACTCATCTTGGGTCTAACTCTTTCACTGCATCCTGAACAGAGAAGCTGGAGGGCATAAGGCCGTGTTGTCACTAGCATTCATTCTTGTCTTTCAACAGCTGAAGTCCCCTATTAATTGATTTAGAACTGGAAGAAATAAAATGACCTCTAAATCACAATTCTCTGGCCATTAGATAGGGGAAATGTTCAAAACCAGCCCTGCTGCACAAGGCAGTCCCACTGAATTCAAGGTTCAGCAGAGCTAATTAAGCTAAAACCACCCACACTTCACCTTGCTTGAAAGAATCAAAGATGCTACATTCACTCCTCAGGCAAACCCAGACTGAGACCAAATACCAATTCCCTTTGGAGCAAAAATTTAAAACAAAAAAATCAGGGATGTGGTAATAAAAAAGCATATCCTGTATTCCTTAACTAAGTCTGGAGTGCTTCAGTATAAAAATCAAGAACATGGAAGAAACCTGGAAAAACCTGGAGCCTTCTTTATGGAAGATCAGAACCAGATTGATAGTAAACATTTCAATAAATGATGTTATATACAAATTATTATATAATACCTGAAAAATCTAGGCTGATGCTCTAGATTGTTTTCTTCCAGCACCTTTCGTCGTTCTCTCTGTAGCTGCTCAATTCTCTGTTTTTGCATTTCAGCTGCTTCAATATTCCCTTCTTCTAGAAGCCTGTACCACCAGCAGTGATAAAAAACATAATTAGTGCTTCAGTCCATTATTTTTGTTAGGTCTTCTAGAACTCCAGAATCTAATATTTACAGAAGACAGCTTGGTGTTTAAAAGATAAACTGTATCTATAGACAATAATTACATTACCAAAAAGCACTTATGGAAAGGCAACTGACAACAAGCTTGAAATAATATTTGTATTAGATTCTTTTCCCTAGAAATTAGCAATGGTAGAATTCCCCCACAGAAAGAAGTTTCAAGAGTCTCAGGTTTCAGTCCTTCAAACACAATATGCTCAACAAAGAATCCCTGAAAAGCTGTAACATCTTTGTAAAGACAGTTATCTAGAAACTGGAGCATCCGAAACCAGTCCCAGAAAACACTGGTCTATAATGACTAGACATCTCTTGATTAGTGATTAAAATTCTGTTTCAGATACAGAATTAATGTAGAAATGGGAACATTCTGCAGGTATCTAAACAAAGTAGCCTAAGCTTAGGGATAAAGTGAATGGACAGATTTTGAGGAAGATACTTAAGAGGAAAAACTTCTTACCTTTGGTCTGGTCTAAAGCGTGTGTCAGTGGATGGGAGCAGTGACCTTGTTTGCAGGTCCAGTTCATTTAACTCCAATGCAAACTGAGTAAATCCATACCACTGTTCATAGTCTTTAGGCATTGGATCTACAGCAGAAAAAAGAACATTTAGAATTCCAATTAAATGTTACTGTCTTCAGAAGGACAACACCAAACTCCCCTCAGTCTTTTTCAAAACCTCTGAATCATGGCCTCAATTTAGGGGGAATAAGTTGAGTCAAAGCATAACAGTGATGAAACGCATTCTACAATCATAGTGATTTTTCAAACTTCAGTAGGTAAAACCCCACAAGGTTTTGCAGAAACTTCAGATATGGTTCTCATTATGGAACTGAGCTATGTCTACAATCTTCCAAAGTTTAATATACATGAAAACCACCATAGTTCACACAAAATAAAGTGGTTTTTTTGTTTGTTGTTTCTTCTTTGCTTTTAGAGTCCTCAATACTTTCTTCATAGCCAGATATGAAAAGGAGGGAGAATGAGGAAAATATGGGAAGCCATGGGATTAAGTTCCCAATAGAATTTGAATGATTTATTTTTCTGGTCTAAATTTTAAATCCTTGAAAAAATTCTAATATTCTTTGCAATAAGAAGTTGAGGTCTACTAGGTAGATTAAAATAGATAGAAAATAGATATTCTCAAGCATATTCTAAGTTCTGTACGTTAGCCATTCTGGTCACTAACTTGCTCTCCATATGCAATTTGGAGATGAAGTTGTCCCACAGTACAGACTTTCATGCCACTTCCCAAAGAGTCGATGCACAACATTCCCAGTTTTATCCATGACGCTGCCTTCGATCTCATGTGCATTTGGATTCCAATACTTTGCCTAGAATCAAAAAGCGCACAAGAGATCAAGTGAGAGTGATATTGCCATGCTGTATGGTATTTTTTCTGAATTGAAAACTATTCATTTAGGTGCACATTACAATATCATACATAAAGAACTACGGTTATTACAACTATAAATTAGCCTACTAAAATGGGCTGTTGAGAATTGTATCTATTCTTCCTTTGTTAGGGGCAGCACTAGGTGAAGCACAGCTGACCTTAAACTTTGTCCAATGACACATAACACCGATTCCTGATTTGGTTACCTAAATCCTCCCCAGATTTGCAGAAAAGGAAGAGAAGGAACTGTTACAGTGACCTCCATTTTAGCCAGTTTATAATATCAAATATATAAACTTGCAGTCTCTCCATCTCCAAAATCTACTACAACTCTGAAAATACATTACTGTACTTTGAATAAAATACCTAAAAAGATTACTCTAATGCTTCTTAGAAAGCATACAGTATTCAGAAAAAAAAAAAGTAAGAACAGGAAAATGATGATGCTCACTTTCTTTCTGCTGCTGAGTGCACCATGGTGCACGGGCATGCTGAAGTGCTTACAGATAGACCATGCAGCCATGCAGATACAAGCTATGAAAAGCAGAGCCTTGCTCCAGCAAACAGATACAGAAAACTCAGGTTTAGGTAAGTTTCTTACAATGCTGAGCAAAACTGTTTCTCAGGTTAGAAATTCTGGCATTATTTTAGGCTTTCAATTAATTTTTCTTTTCTTGAAGAAGTTATCTACTGCCAAAAGTTAATTTCAATTTCAGTGATGAGGGCATTTCTTGAGGTAGTTATATATCAATGCCTTATCACAGAATCACAGAATTGTAGGGGTTGGAAGGGACCTCCAGAGATCATCGTGTCCAACCCCCCTGCCAAAGCAGGTTCCCTACAGCAGGTCACACAGGTAGGCATCCAGGCAGGTCTTGAACATCTCCAGAGAAGGTATATTATCTTTATCTATTTATCTTTATTATCTTTATTTTATCTTTATTATCTTTATCTATTTATCTTTACTATACTGAGGGAAAAGCTTTGAACAATACAATCCCTCACTTAGGCTCCTCCAAGCACCTGCAGAGGGGCTAGAAAAATGCACTGCAAGTGTAAGCACTGTAAGCTTACACCCTGTGTAAGCACTGTTTCCACAGCTGCTGGATGAATGCAACATAGCACATACCAATGGATTAGTAGAAGATGTATGGTAAATCTCGTTCAGTGGACACCTTTTGTCTACTTCTCTTATCAAACATAGACTAGGTTTTTGATCATATTTCTTCCTTTTCCTCCCTCTTAATTTTTTTTTCCTGCGTCTCATCTAGAATCACCTGTGAAGGGTGTGCTTTTCTTTCTTGCCTGGCTCTACCTAGTAAGCTGCAGTTCATTTATAGTTCACAATTCTCAAAGAATCACAGGTAATTTCAGAACTGTCTGAAAACACAGTTTGTAAGCAGTTGAACTGAGTTTCAGCAGACAGCATCCACCCCCTGCTGCGTTTGCTGGATAGGACACTGCCAAAATTACTGTTACTGAAAGTCACCTTTATGAAAGTCAATTTGCAGTAACAAGTGTCGTCATTAAGATTTTTGATGATGATCTCTCCATAGTGTTCAATCCATCTTTGCCCACTTAAGATGTTATGGATGCAAGATGTCACCTTGTTCCATGCAAAATGGTCTCTAAAACTGTAACAGAATAGATACACGAGAAGTCTTATGCCATATTTAAGCTAGCTTATAAACTTCTGAAAAAAATTCAGATAGAACTCAAAAGAAAAAAATATAAAACAATTTTTTTAAATAAAGCCTTAAGATTCTTGAATACCTGTTTATTATTAGTAAAGCCTATGGCAACAATTCAGATATTTTTTTCCACAGGGATACAAACGACACATGAAAACCACACGTGAATCAGAAAATTTTCCAGTTCATCAGCCCTAATGGGGATAATGGGTGCTAATCCATAGGTTACTTTACCTCTGAACCTTCACTCATATTCTAAAGACCTTGGAATGCACAGCTTAGTCTAGGCACTATGAACAAGAGAACACAATATCTTTTATACACACTGCCTTTCGGATACTTTATTGGGTTGTTTTTCTTCTTTCTTAAATTTGGCAGAATAATTAAATTTGTAGACTCTTTGGAAAACAAATTTAATTGGAACAATACTTATCCTTAGACCTGTGTTTCTGTTACTATGCTGGGTACAGGGTAGTTTTTGAGTGATTCTATTTGTTGATCTATAGCAGACACTTTGACAAGCCAGCATAGGAGCACTGTAGATTTTTATTTTTAAAAATCAACCTAAACTATAGTGGTTGTGAGTGCTTGCTTCCTTGAATAATAAATACCAGGTATGCTACTGGTGCTATTTGTCACGATAATTATTTAAGCAGTGAGGACAGCTGTCAGCCTCAGCTACAGACCTAGACCCCATAGTGGTAGGGTCTGTACAAATGTAGACAGAAAAGAGCAACAACCTCCCAACCTCAAATTCATATTCAAGCAAAAAACAAAAACAAAAACAAAAACAAACACCTGCAGCTTCCTTTACCACACAGCTTTTCCATGTAACTAAAAAATGCACTAAGCTTGAAATTGAACCTAAGTATGAAAATACAAACTTTGCTTTTTCACCAAAGCATATGAAATTGATGGCTTTTATCTCATCATTTATAACATTTGAAAGATGTAGAGCTTGATCTTTGAAAGATTTAGAGCTTCCATTTTGTTGGGTTTTTTTTTCTCCCCTCTTTATTTTTAAACTAAATCTTAATCACCAATTCTTCCAAAGGTCTCATCTGCACAGTACAGGTTCTCATCTGCAAAAATGGAGCTTCAGTGCAGGTGAGCCTCTATGTTGTCTGTGTGTGAACAGCAATGCGTGATCGCAGCACTTACGCTGGAAGAGTTACATGTGTTGTACCAATGGGAACAATTTCCATGGACTTTCCCCAGAATTTGTTTTTCCATCTTACATCTGAAAAAAGATGAGGGAAAAAGAAATAAAAAATAAAAGGCAGGTTTAGTCATCGGCATGCGTGAATCTATAGACATCTTGGCTCTACTTTAAGAAACACAAAATAACAAAGTGTAACATAATAAGGAGTGTTCAAAATAATGCTACAAACAATTCAGTGTTTATTCAAAATATTACTGGTTAATTAAATAGAAAAGCACCAGAGTTTTAAGAGTCGTCTCTTAAAAACGTTTTCAAAAGAGATGAATTTAAATAAGCTATAGGCAGTGTACATTTATCTGTAATGCTTCATTCACTAATGCTAGTGATTGAATGCAGACATTTTCAAAAACCAAAAAGAAAATTTCAAATACAAAAATATAGCAACTACCAACATCCACAGGGCAGAAAATTAGGTAGGGATTTAGTCTGACTTCCCCTGGAAGTTCAATTGGCCTTTTAAAATCTGGTCTGAATCAGAAGAACTGCCCAAGTCTCACATCATTTCCTCCAAAAAAAGAAGATGATAAATCTCAATGAAAACTTATAAAAATATCTTGAGGAAGCTGTTAAATTAGCGATTTATTTCACTTCAAAGTGAAATAAACATGGACAGAGAAGTACAGCATAAGGGGTATGGAGTTAAATTAGGCTAGACAATCAGACAGTAACTTTCACAGTGACTTTAGTGCTTGCAAGATAGTATCCTTGCTGTGCTAGACACCAGCATCTCCAATTCTATTCACAGACTCATTTGACAATAAAGGAAAAAATCATCTCCAGTCTCAAAAAGATGCTAAGACGGAACAAAAACCAAACTACAGCTTCCAATGCAATTGTCCTTTGCAAACAGGTCCTACAAAAGTAGCGTTAGTTTCCTAAGTAAGGGAGAAGAGTTTCTGAAATAACTGTCCCTGTGTTGAAACAGGAGCTAAGGTCACTCAGTATCTGGTGGAATGACAGCACTACTCTAGCAATGTAGCTGAGGGCTGTCTCCTTTCAGCAGAGGAGACGATATGATAAGTGGCAGATGTTTGCACAGACAGAACTTATCTTGTTGACAAGATACCTTTATGATTAACTTAATGTTGATCTTTCCACATAAGTTAATATAGCCCTGTAACAAGAGGCCACAGTATTTACAGGTTACATTTACATTAGAAAAAAATCATTGTCTAGATCTCCAATAAGCTCAGCTAGACACATTTAGAAACACAACAACAAACAAACAAAAACAAACCCTGCTGCACCCTGACTGAGTCTTCTGGGTCACTGGGACCAGACCTCAGTCTCTTCTCTAATCGACCAGACTCTCAGTGCTTGTTTTCACAGAACAAATTTGTCCTCTAAGTGCATGTTACAATAGTTAAGTGACATTAGCTTTCCAAGATCTGTTAAAGAAATGTGTATTCAGTTTTTGAGATAGGCTGTTATCTAGTCTTGTATATACAAGCAAATGGATACATTTTTGGTCATCTTTGCTTTTCAGCTAAGAACAGGATTCTTGCTCTGTATCTGTTTACAAAGCAAAGAATTAGACTAATGACAAAGCTGCAATTTCTGTTCAATACAATTCCACCTGTAATAGCTCTAATCAAGTCAGCAAAGCCGATCCTAACAGAATTAAAGGCTATAATATGCTACACAGTGAATTAATTGACAGAAGTCTGGGCAAAGGATTTTAACTGAGTTAAAAGGCATAGTAATGTCCTGTGTCCACTCCAAAAATATTGGATTGTTCAGGTATTGTAACTGGCTGACATCTTCACTAGACTTGTAAAGCAAACAAAGCTCCATTGCACCATTTATTGGAAGACAATGTTAGCAGTGAAACAGCATGAAATTTTATGCACTATAATAATACTACAAGAGACAGACACGGTGAATGTGCTGTCCCTGCTGTTATACATATTTCTGGAAATTATTTTCAGAACAGAACTGCAAGATCTATCATGGCTCAGGATTCAACGCACAGTTTTCCAAGTTCTATTCTAGGTTGTCTTCATAAATATCTTGAGGTACAACTCTCCTTTTGTAAACAAACCTCTCACCAAAAATAAACAAATGAACAAAAAACCCAAGAAAATTATTTAACAGATTTTGAATACATGCACATAGTTGTAATGGCAGAAGATCCAAGTAAAAAAAAAAATACCTGTAAGCCAAGGATTTCTTATAGCCATTCTGTTATGATTTAAGCAGAAAAATTCATCTTTTCCCTATTTCTGGATATTTCATGTTAAACATACAGTGCAATTATTACGAAGGCTGTGAAAGTAAATGATACTGAATATTTACCTTGCCAAAAAGCAAAATTCACAGATTCAGCATGGCATGCAGAAATAGGTGGATGGTGACTGACCTAATAGCAAGACATGAAAGAAAGAAAAAAACAAAGATAAAAATGTTAACCCCTGAAGAGTAATTTTGTTTTGTTCTACCCCTTTTTTTCCCCTTTATTTTTCATTCATTTATTCATATAATTCATTCATTTACAATTTGAACATTTACTTTCCTTTTGCAGTTGTTTCCTTAAGGGGGAGCCAGTGGGATTTGTAATGTACTGAGACCTAGGAAGCCTTGAAAGAAAAGGCAAGCACTGTTTAAAAGGCCTGTAAATTTGTTTGTTGAAAGAAATCTAACCATGGATTTTGTACATTGTCTCTAACGTAATATTTACACTTCATCTGAAAGCCTCGTTCATATTTTAACAGAAGATGTGCTTTGAGAAGACAGCAAAAACATAGAAATTACCAATCAAACAAACAAAAACCAAAAGGCCAAATGCTTCTATATAGTAGATCCTTACTAAACCCTGACTATGGGGTGGGACAGCAATCAGCATCACTGAAGGGGACAAAAGCTAGAGAAATAAAACCATGAAATTCCATCTAGCAACTTTTAAGACTGCACAAGTGACACATCCAGTTTTTCTTGTGTGAAGCTCTTATCACACACACTCCATTTTATCAGCTTTGGGTAATAACAGCACATACATAACAATGCAAGGACTGAAACAACAAAGTGAGCATTGTAAGTAAATAAATAAATATGTTATGCATACTGTTCAAATAAAATAGTGAATAATAAAGTGACTGCACAAAGCAAAAGCTTTCTACATTCACCCTTCTGGGTGAACAAGACTAAAATCTGACCAGGACCAACGCCTTGATGTGTAATGACTACTGTTCTTTTGACAAAGACACCTTTATTTTCAAATCAAGTTGCTAATTCCAACTGTGAATTTCATTTCTTAATCACCCATATGACTTGATTGCAGTTTTACTTTCTTCTTTGTTTCATTTTGCAAATTTGTTATTTTATGCAGTTCTCCCTGACCAACCTTCACATGGTTAAAAAAGAAATAAAGTAGTACTGATTACTCTCAGCTACGCCCTAATCCACTGAGAGCAACACTCTCTCTCTCTTACATACTGTGTTCAGATTAACCCCAGATGTCACTATAATTCCCAGGTTAAACTTGGCTCTCACTTAAACTGTGATAATTCCAGAGTAAGGTCATGGAGCTAAGTAGAGCTATTCTGAACATATCCTAACAATAGAACAGATCTCTATAATTTTATACATTCTACTTCTCTATTTCACACGTTACATGGTACCTGCACTAACAAGTTATCTAGAGTAAGCATCAAAATGTTTGCTCAAACAAGCAATAAATAAGAGCTCCTGCTGCAAAAAGAAATATTTAATGCTTGCAAGCTGTATGAAATTTCTTTCCTCCTATACCACCCTCCCTTCTAAATATTCCTCCACCCCATAATAATACAGTAAAACTTTATCACTCATGTTACATACTGCACATATTTGAACAACAGTTATTAACAAAACAAGAACACTCATATTTTAAAAATCTCCTTTAGGAAAAGTAACCTTTGTAGTGATTTGTCTAATATTTAGGGGAAAATCTTCTCCTTTAATTCAAACTTACATTAAACTAAGTTCCAAACTTTATCATCTGCTTTGCTACTCCAATTTGACGTTACACTGGTGACTTAGAACTAAACACAATAAAGATTCAGACACATTGCTTGAACTTTAGACTTGATTCTTGCTTTGACTGTTCTGCTTTTTTTTTCCTTATTTTTTCACTTGTCTGTGATACTTCCTAGACTAAGGAAAGATCACATAGTGCAGCTTCTTGTCCTCTGTAAAACATGATGTACAAAGTGCATCAAAAACACTTTTCATTTAATAATAGAAGTCTCTTATGAGGCTTTCACTGACCAAATTTCTAGGCTGCACAGCCTTGCCTACTTTAATTTTCTAATTTTTGTTGCAATGTCTAGACAGAATAAGACAGCTTTCAATCCTTCTTACATTCTGACAGGAACCAGATTCTTCAAATTCTACCTCATTTTAACTTACGTCTCAAGCTTAGCAATTTTGGTATCCGGACTGGTTCAAATATTATATATTTTTTACCCACGCTTAATAACCATACTACAGGAAGGCTATTTTCAGCAACACTCAGACCTTGATGTGCTGTATACATCCTTCAGCCACTAAGCCGTGGTACCAGATTTGACAGGCTTAGCCCACAAAGTATTTGGACGGGGAGGATAAATATTCGTGGTGCATAGAAAATACTGGTGGTTGATCAACTCATGCGAATGAAATATTTGCTGTAAAAAAGACAATTTGTTATGAAAATTTTAAATGATTGCACACAAAGGAACATGACAAGAACATAAAGCCTTTTGCAGCGATCAGATTTCAGAATGAGAAACTTAAACAAGTTACCTAGTTACTGGAGTAACAGCCTGCCAAGCCTTTGCTTCTGACTGTCAGTGACTGACTGTCACATTCCATCCTAGCGTTAGCTGCCTTTCCTCAATAAACAAAGCCATTTCCTTCATTTATAATTCTAGAGCATCTCTTGAGTTTTGCTGGGCTAAGGTGATGCAGAGTAATGTATTTTGCTATAGCTCTGGGGGATACCAGCCATGCATTCAGAATTAAGTAGTCTATCAAATAGCAAAAGTAAATGTTGCAGCATACAGTACCTGTTCTGCAAAGAACTGGAAACCCTTATCTTCACGAATACATTCATAGGTTTCTCCAAGAACAGGATTAAATGGCTTGCTTCCAGCTCGGTAGTAACTGGATGCATATGCAGATACTGCAAACGCAGCTATATATACCTGGAAATAACACACAGAATTCTGATTACTTTATCACAATCATGCACTTTTTTTTTTTTCAATAGATTCAGACTTAACAGAAAATATAAACAAAGGCCTTATCCTGACATCACCTATTTCTTTTTTCCATTATTTGCAGACTACAAATGTGTATGCCTCCTCCTGGGAGTTAAGCATTAGTTCATACATTATAGAGTTTTTCAGTTTTCAATGAATCATTCAAGAGGCCAGTGATAGAGTTAATAGGATCAAACTTCACAAATTATTTGACTGAAAACAGTGTCTCTGAAAACAGTTTGAAACAATTCAGTTTCAGAAACAATTCAGAACACGCAGAATTGAAAGCAGTAAACTTAAAAACCACTGACAGATTTTGTATTGTAATTGGCTTTTACAGTTATGGTCTGTTATTCTATGGATGTACTCGCTATCCTTTCCCTAAATACGGCACAGGAAACACTGTGAGAGTTTTCACAAAATTTGCTACGTTCAATGCAACTTGTATCATTTTTCTTCCTTTTCATTTCCTTTTCCACATTTTATGAAAGAGTAGTGTGTTCCTTTCACAAATTCAGAAACTGACTTAATAAATGAGCTATTCTGAAGCAAAATGTTGCAATTACTATACAACAGTTAACAATAATTTTACCTCAAGAGTTTTTCAGAGTCAAAGAATACTACATTCCAATTCAATTTCCAGATGCTTAGGTGTGGGAAGGAGTGAAGAGACTTATTTGCATTCCTATGCAAAGACCTACTGCTCATTTTCTTTTAACGCTTATTCTTAACAAAAACAAAAAACGAGTTCTATACTAAGAACAAATTAACAGCCACACTCTGCAGCAGAAATGCTAAGTCATGGCTCCAAGCAGTAATTGAGCACTTAGTAGGAAAGCAGAACCAACCCAAAGGAACTCAGGTGCAAGCAATGCACCTAAGTGACTGGAAGGATACACCCCTTCCCAGATCTCATTTAAAGGTTGGCAGTGGAGGTAAGGGTATCTTGCTAGAGACCCCTGCATAGTTGAGACCTTCTAAAGGTAAGTGTGTTTTTCCTTTATCTCTGTGATGCTGACTGTTGCATTTGAGTAAACCCTCACCTGCTGCAACCTAGGACCTTGCTATTTTGCTGTCATTACTATGCTCTCCATTGTATTACATTCTCTAAATCCCAAGGACAGACACAAAGTTATGATCCTTGTAGAGTTGGAGCAAGTTCTTTTTGAGCAGTATTTATAATGTAATTAATTACATTCATTAATAGTCTCATTTTAAAGTAAGAAATATTGATCAGAAGACTTACTTTAGTGTATGGTACAATCCATCTATTTAAGAGAATGTAGTGAGCTTTAAAATCTTTTATTTATAGGCATACACATTAAGTAACTCTTGTGAATCTAGAAGCAAACAACTGAAATTTTCTCTTGTTATCTATCAAATTCCAAATTCAGGATTCTATGGTAGTGGAAGATGACATCAATATAGTAATCAACATATATAAGCAGTGCCTAGTTCTGAGTTCCTGACCACTTTGTAGCATCTTCAGAATTACAAAAAATCAGCTGATAAAACAAATGGAGCTCACTTAATTGACACAAAGCTATCACAGTAGGGTAGGGCTGGAAGACCCACTATCTACCATGGAGAACTGCTTCCAGATTAGGCAACTTCACATTATAAAGATATATAGTATTGTAATTTCCATACTCATGAGAGAAGCATAATAGTTCACTCCTCTTTGCTCCAAGTTTTTCTTCTTGGAAAACTAGAAGAGGAAGGAGGAAGAAAAGATACAAACCAGATTTCAACTTATACTTCACTTAACCTTCAGGATAAGGCACTTCAGGAGATACGCTTCCTTAACAAAGCAAAAGGGATTAGGCAGAATAAAAATTAGTGGGTACAGAAACAAACACAGACATGCTGGAGCCTGCCTTTCTCAGCTGGACGGAAAGAAAAATGGAGTAGAATGCCTTCATGTATTTGACAGATTGTTTTGTTTTTTTTTTTTTTACATTGTACTCTCTTCTGGTTGTACTGATTATTATTAAGAATCTTAAGTGTTTACCATCCGTTCAAATGGGTTAGGTGTATGAGCTGCTTTATCTAGTAGCTCACTGTATTCCAGCTCCTCGCAGAGACGCTGAAGGGTGTTAAGTGGCTCATTCAATTCCACAGGCATGGCCACTTTGGAGAGATCCTTTCCTATGTTGTTTCTTAAGATATTCCATAGGCTGATGTTACTAGTATTGGGACATGGAGCTGGTAAACATGTTCTCCTTTTAGAATGACATCCAATTCCACTTTCAGAAATACAGTCTGAAAATAAATATGCAGAACGAGTTAATATGTCACTTACTTACTTTTTATCCCTCTTACAAATATACATTAAGATGTAACTTTTTTTTTTTGTCAAAACCACCTTTCACTCTCACATTTCATTCAAATAACTTCACCTGTGGTTTAAAGATAGCCTGCTACAATGGGGTAAAGAATAAACATCACTTTAATATCTCTAAGTTAACTGAAGGTAGAAAAGCAGCGTGAAAAACTACCTCCTTTCTCTTAAAGGCTAGGAGAGAGACTCAGGCTTTCTGCTGAATTTGAAAGAGTAAATATTATTGCTGTCTTAGTCGTAACAGAGATAGATTCCTATCTGTTTAAGTGACAAAAAACCTCCCTCTCTGACAGAGCTTCAATTAAGTTGCCACTTCTCAGAAGACAAGGAATAAATTACAGATCCAAGCACCAAAGTAACTCCTATCTATCACTTTTTTTTTTTTTTTTTTAATGCTGCTTCCAAGGAAATCTACTGTGGCACAGATCTACATGAAGGCTTTCCCACTGTGCTTGCCATAGCACAGACCATTTTAAAAATGTTAAACCACATTGACTTTTAGATACACCCATGTATTGCTTATTTAATTGCATATATTGCTTTCTACCTGCTTAACAGGTAGAAAAACTGAAGCAATTCTGGAACTTAGGGCTTGCTAATATTTAAAAAAAAAAAAACAAAAAAACTCAACCACAAGAATACCTGAGGTGGCCAGAGTTGTCAAAGCAGTCAGACCAGAATAAATAGTTGAAGGTGTGCAATGAAATTACATCTATTGAATTAAAATAGAGCTATGAGCTTCTGCAACAGGTACATTGCTTAGTTATGTATCAATTTTGATTCAGACAAATGAGATTTTTGTCAGATGGATGAGATTTCTCTCTACAGTGTAGTTTGCCCACTCCTAATGAAAAGAAATCCCCTCTGGTTTGCAAGACCTGTGGAAAAACAGCCACAACAACACTGAAGGAGACTAAGACACCTGACCTTCTGCTTGGATCAGTGACTCTTCAAGTCAGATTGGACCACTGCTATCATCTGGTATGACTTTTGACAGTGCAGTGGTCAAAAGATTTTTATCAAAACCCCACAATTCATAACTCAGTGAAAGCCCGTGTAGGAAAAAAGGTATCCAGTTTGCAATGGGAGAGGTAGACTGACCAAAGCACAGGAAAAAGGTATCAGAAGTACACAGAGGTGCTGCTCACACAGCATAGTTTCAGTGGTGGTGTCTTTGTTACAAGACAAATACTGCTACTTTCTTAGTTTTCTAAGATTCAGATTATGAGGAAAAGAAAAACAATCCTGTATTTCAAAACATCTTCATTTTTTTAAACAATTACAGAACAGATCTCCAAACATGTTAACTACCCAAATATAAAGGGATCCACTCATCCTTGGAGATGATCAGGTAACACTTGCAAGTAAGAAACAACTGGTCAGTATTATTGAATGTAACACAGATGAAGCGGGAAGAAGATTGTGATTAGATGAAATGCTCTCAAAGCACAAAGCTAATTAGTTTATTATACCAATTCTTTTGCCTCTATTTTTTTTTTTTATTCTCTCTAATTAGCAAGACTGTTAAATAAGTGCACCCAGTAACAAGCCTGTCATAATTAAAACAGGCAGAGAAGAAACTTGTATGGTCAGGCATGAGGTGTGACAGTAAATAATTGACATGTTCTTTTAAACAATAAAATCTACTAAAAATGACAAATTTGAACATGGTTGTTATATTGAAGCAAATTCATTTCTAGAGAAAAATGAAATGAAAAAGCAACCAAAAGCAGCAAGCCTTGCTAGTTTGAAAAATCCTGTGGCTATGAAAGATCTGAAAAGGAGCTGAAATTGAGAGGACAAGAACATTGGTGTTTCTCTGCTGATACTGAACCACCATCCTGTTTAAACAATGGTGCCTTGGCCCTTTTAATCAGATTAATCAGAATGTGCTGCTCTAAAGCAGTCTGAGGTGATAAGAGGGGGAAAAGACCACACAAGCTGTCTATATCACAATCTGTAATATCAAATGTTTTCTAACAAAACGCAAAAAAAATACCTCAAACAAGAAACAAATTCCCAAAACATGATATCATAAGACCCTCAACTTACCTAAAGTTTGTCTTTCATTCTCTATGTCATTGCTTAGGTTATCTTCTGAGACATTGTCACTGATATCACTTACGTATGAATCATCATCTGATACCTATGTGCAGGATAAGATATGTTACTCACTAACATACCCATTAAAGTAATTCCACGTGCACACAAATTGTTACTTTTTGCTGCAATTAATATTTCTTGTAGATCTGAACTTTTTAAGCTGTATTTCAGTATTGGAGAAGTACTAAGTGAACCTCAGAATTAAATACTTTGGGAATTATTACCATCAGTGATAATTCAGTTTTTTATCTTAGTGAAAATGTGCTTTATCCTCTTGGTCTCAGATCTAGAAGGGCTTTCACCACATCAAACACCAAGAATTTAGGGAGTCCTGGAGAAGTGAGCTATTAAGTTTTAGTATCTGTACTCTTGGCCCCAAGGTATACCTACAGGGCAGATATATATTTATATTTCTGTGATAGAATTTCCTTAGCTCTTGCACGATGACTCAAGGCAGATCATACAATATATGCAGTGTCTGCATATGAGCTACCTGTTTGCCATTTTCCTCAATGTGCATATAAGACTTTTCCACAATAATTTTTTACATTCAACTGTAAAGAGATAACAAATGAACACAAGCAGGATAGTAACTTATTTTTGTCAAATCATCTGATGTGCAATTAGCACACTGAAAGACCACATGTTGAGTAGCAGATAATGAACTAGATAAGAAAAGTGTCAACCTTAAAGCTCAGACCTCATTTTCTGAAGAACTAGCGGACAGTAGGACTTCCTGTGCATCAAAAAATTCTGTAAGAGAGTCAGCAATAGACAGTCTGCTTTCATTGGAGATCTGGTGAACCAGACCTCTGTTTTCTTCTCTTGAGTTCTCCTGTTTAAAAGAAATACAAAGTGTTGAGAGGAAGAATACTACAAATAGCATTCATGCATATAAATCCAGTCACATAAGTTAAAGGGTTGTAGAACACCTGGGAGAAGACTGCACATGCTCCTTTTACAACTTAGTGAAAGGTAGCATGTTCTGAGGAGGGTATTTAAAACCAAATGAAAATAGACTAAAAAAGAAAAAATCTACAATTCAGTAGATTAGTTCATACTCTGCCATGTACTACTTCCTCTGACAAAAAAAAAAGTGAAAATGCATTGATATTTGAGAGGTTCAGCCAGATACATATGCAAGTGTGTCACTAAGAAATCCCCACAGAGGAGAAAGTTCCAACTTTTTTTACTACGTGCTGGGTTCTCATTCTTTGCTGATCTTAATAAACATACTAGTTTTCTCTTTTCCCTGGCCTCGCTTAATGCAAGTCTGGTCAAGCAGTAGCATACAAATTCAGAGGGGTGAAGTTATTTTCTATGCAATAGCAATGTTTTCCTGACTATCTCCACTTGGCTGTCTTCCTTGCTATGCTTCAGAAAGCTTCATATTCACACCCAAGTACTGTGTATCAACTCAAGCCAGCATATTATCAAAGCTGCATCAATGATATTGCTTTTGCTGCTGAAGTTCTGTTTGTACAAAATGTACAGATTTCATGACCTCCACCTGCAGAAACCCCAAGTTCTCTCTATAGGTAGTTGGCATAAGCAGAGTTGCCAAATGTAGTATAGCAAAGGTGGGACTACCAGTGAGTATTGGTAGTTCCCTCATAGCTCCATCCCTACTAAGGAATAAGGCTGGCTGGTCCAAATTAGCATATCAGCTGCTCTCAAGCTTCTTTCTGTACGTGATGCATTCTTAACTTGTAACCATGGCTGCCCTTGCTATCATAATTTTGTAGGAATTGCAAAATTAAAAAATTTTTAGAGCTTTACTTTCAGAACTCACTTAATGAATTATCTGGGAAGTCTGTAATCAAACTGACAAATCTTTTGAGGCTTCTCTGTTGGTTTTACTACAATATAGAATGTTATTCACTGTGTGCTGATAATGGTGACATTGATAACAGTTTGGTTTGTTACTTACAGAAGATTTCTGCTTTTTTTTTTTTTTTTTAATTGTATAATCCCAGTAAAGCCACAAGAAAGAAGTAACCTCAAAATTGACTTTTCTGGGGGAAGGCAGTTACATTGGCCTGCAAGTCAAAAAAAAATTTCCTATGTGCATGAGCAGTGCTACTGGGATTGTTTCCAACTCTATTTTGAATCTCAGAAGCAAAATGAGCAGAAGAGGCTCATAAAAGAACACTTTGTTTTTATATTTAATCACATGAGAGCTTCACTTTGTCTTTGTTCATGTTTCAATTGTGGCATGATGAACTGCACCATAAATGACTCAAAATATAAAGTAAATGTTCATTTTATGCAAAGGCTTGAAAAACTAGTTAATACCACTTCAATTTCCACAGGCCTATCATAGCAGCTGATATATCATCTAGAGCTAAGCTTTGTGCAGTGACCTAACAGCAACAGTTCTGTATTGCAGTCCTCAGACAATCTAATATGAAAATTTTCCAGTATAAATGATTTTTGTCTGTAAGTTCCAGAGGGATTTCATCAACAAATGCCCTAAAGGACATTTTAAAAGCTAATTTCGTCACTATATATGCAGTGCATACAGCATGGACTTGATGAGCTATAAGGTCTTTTCCAATCTAAGCAATTCTGTGATTCTGTGTGTGAGAAATAACCCAATATCTTTTACAAGGTCTTCCACTAAACAGGATGATTGCTCTTGAAATTAAAAACCAATGTACTCATTCATTAATGCCTCTCTGTATAGCAGTGCTATTCAAAAACTTTATAGGATTAAAAACAAAAGACACTGAAATGATCAATTACCTTAAAAGAAAAGAGAGGCAAAATATGACTAAAATCAGTACTTCTAAAATGGAACTAAAATAGAAATGAACAGACTGAATGACTAAACTGCCTTTAAAAATGAAAGGAAATAGTATGTTATATAAAACCCAACACTACATCCATTCAAGTTCTAATGCAGGATTTATTATACAAGCACAGCACAAGTTTCTGTATCAGTTAGCACGTAGGAAAATTCATCAGAAATAAGTTCTTGCTTCCCTTATTGGAATCTTAAACATCTAGGTCCTATGATCTATAAATACACCACATCCATATGCATTCTGAAGTGAGCCAAAAAACTGCCAGTACTTCAGTGCATCTCAAACTGGCTAACTGGATATGCAGAAGACTCCCTGTTCTCAAACACACAGAACTAAATGGCTGAAGATCCCATACATTTCATTTCTCTGATTCTTTCATGAAAAGTCTATTAATGGCTCTGAACATTAAGTCAGTCACACCAGTAGTTAGTGTTCTGGGCTAACAGTATTCAGACAGGCATGAAAGTTAACAGGGGAATGCAAGGAGAGAGAACCACTGGCAGCAGGTGACAAGGCAGCTTTGTTCATGCTGCATGGGAAGTGGGCAGGAGGTGAGGGAGAATACCAGGAGCCAGTAGCAAAAGCAATGGTGGTATGCTCAGGAAAACTGCTCACAAGGGAAATCTTTGAAATTAAATATAACACAATGCATCAACAGAAATGATTCATAATCACAAAAGCGGACTCATTTTGCTAACACAATACACTGCAGGGAAGACATGAAGAACAGGACAAAATGTAACACCATCTAGATGTAGGAGCTTGAGGAAAAGATCACTGAAAGAGGAAATCCATACCCACCTTCACCAAATCTGGACTTGATTTTGCATTAGATGCTGAATCAAGGATCATAGATTCGGCATGTATTCTGCGTAACCGGTCTTTTAGATCTGTGTTTTGTGCTATTGCCTGGAATATTTAACAAAAATATTGGGGATATAAAGTTCTCTCAACTAATTTAACAGTGGTTTCATTGTGTAAAAAGAAAGGGAAGGAGTATTTTAAATGCAGTATTAAACACATAATTGGTTACTGGTAGCAAATTATTTGTTATAAATGGTTAAAATCTTGTACCTTGTCTCTAAAATTATTTTTGTTCAGTGTGAGGGAGAAGACAAGTGGAGAACAAGAGCCAGGGATGGCACATTCAAGTTACTAGATTGTGCAAGGTGATATAATAAATTAAGAATGAATGAATTTTGTGCATCATCATTTTTTTTTAAGCTCCTTTCCCTCACCTCTATCTTGTCTCTAAATGTTCTCATTCTTGCCACACTGAAAAGTGACTTTTTTTTCATCAAGCTGATATACTGTTCCCTTTGTCTTCCACTAACAGAGATGTAAGACTTCAGACTAATTAGTAAGACAAAGCTATCTTCCACTTTTGTTGCTGCACCTCAACTGAAGTGCGCTACTGCACTAGGCAAGAACAGAAAATATTCTGAATGAATATAAGACAACCACTGTACATGACATTGTTTTCCCAGAAACAATTCCAGAAATGGCAGGGGGCAAGCTTCACTGGATGTAATGAGGCCCTATGGGAGAAAGACTCCTCCAAATCATACAGAAAAACTATGAACAAACAACATACTTAAGAACCAACCAAACAAAAAAACCAACAACTTAGCTGTTGTTTTTTTTTTTTTTTGCTGAGAAAAACATGTATTTGTATTTTCTACAGTTGTACTATTTGTTTTTTAATATTCCATACTATTTTATATTCCACTGCTTTATAATTATGTATAAGCATAATGAGCATTGTTTTAAATTTACTCCATTTAAAAAATAAGCCTCTACAGATATTGATAGTGAAACAGCTCTTTCTTTGCTTCATTTCAGAAACTGGGATGCTTATGCATGAAGAGGAATCCAATTCCTCAGTGTTACAATTACATGTAGCATTGTAAGACCAACTGTACTTATGGTAATATACTCTTTTGCAAGTGCATGGAGCATAAAGTTACATAGAAGCAGTTACTGTCTCCCAGCTGTACAGAATAATTCAAACAACACACACTCTATGGACTAGCTAGCACTCCTCCAGCCACTGCCCCCACTGCAATCCTTTAGACAATACTACTTCTGAAATCAGGTGGGTTTTCCCCTATACTCTGTTGAAACTACTGAAGGGGGAGAAGCTCTAGGAGCCTGTTTGTTGCTTGAGGATTAGCCTGAACCCAGAGTCTGACAAGACTTCACTCTGCTGAGGTGTTTGGATGGCCCTATGAGCTTATTTATTCCCTGAAAACAGGGATTTATTTTTTTGTGTATTTTTTTTTTTCAGATGCTTCCCTGCTGCTTTGACTACGTCTATAGTTCCTGGATGTTTACTTGGCCTCTGAAAGGCATGCTTGGGGGACAGCTGTTATCTCCTCTTGGTGACTGTCAACCATGCAATCATAAAATGGCATGGGATTTTAAAGACTATATGGTTTCAACCACTTTGTCACAGGAACTTTCCGCTAGATCAGGCTGCCCAGGGTCACATCCAACCTTCAAATGCATCCAGTGACTGAGCATTCACAGCTTCTCTAGGCAACCTGTTCTAGAGCCTTATTCATCCTCATAGTAGAGGATTTCTTCCTTATCTTACCTAAAATCTACCTTTTCATTTAAAACCATTACTCTTTTTATTATCAAGACATACCCCAGTAAAGAGTCTCTCCTCATCTCTTGTGGCCCTCCCTCTCAAGTATCAGAAGGCTGCAATAAGGTCTCCCCAGAGATTTAATCCCAGCTCAGTCAACCTTTCTTCCTAGAAGAGATGTTCCAGCCCCAGCCCTTTGATCACCCATAAGGATTTCAAGTTTGATTTAACCACAGAGGGAAGCAAATATAGGAATAAGTAAGCATAAAACAGTAATTTTTTTTTGGTCTCATCTTCTTCAAGAGAATCAAGAAGCATACTTAAGTTTCTGGTGGGGCTATGTAGATTACTGTTTATCTCAACATGTTCTCCTTTAAAAACTGCTACAAAAGAGGTCTCTTTCACCTAAACATCTTCACATTTCTCCTGTCATACAGAAACACAGCAGTGAATCTTCTTGCTAAGATACATCTGAAATATGCTCCACCACAGAATATGAATGGTTTGATGTAGAGCTGAAGGAAAGGGGGGACTTTGGATAGGAATCTAAGGAATAAGTTTAGTGCTTCTTCATCCTGCAAAGTCCCAAATCTGTGCAAATCCTTAGATTGTTAGAAGTACCAAGAGCATGAAATGTATTTGGTCTCAGCTTTGTATCAAAGTAGAAGTGAGAATGAAGAAAAGATTTTCCTGTAACATTCTTTTCCTAGGATTTGTTCTTTACATACCAAATCTCTTCTATGGCAGTCTGCTTTAAGCTGTACTCTAAATTAATTAGATTTTTTTACTATTTTGAAATATTTCTTCTGGCAAAAGTAGACAGGATAATCTGTCCATTCCAAGTCATTCTCTACAGCTAGCAGAGTTGCAGAACTCTTTCTAACACTGAATCAAAAAACAGTTTACAGTGTGTGTCCTGACAGCCTTTTAATGGGAATATTTAGGAAAAAAAAAAAACCTTCTGTAGCAGAGACTCTGATAGACACAAAAATTAAAAGAAACAATCCAGCCATCAGGATGGAACAAAACTGAAGACTTACTGCCTACTTCTGCCATGTGAGTCAATACGAGAGCCTTGCAATTTATGCATTTACTTTGTCCAATTCTGATTTTGACAGTAGTTTTTGTTGGAAGTAGGAAAGACAGTAGGTCTGAAGTAATGGTGAATGGGAGAAAGAGTGTTCTCTGGCTTTACATTTGTGTGGTCTAGCTTCAACATATTAGCATTTAGCACTTGTCTCTCAAGTGGACAATCTTACACCTTATACCCACATCATCAAACTAATACAATAAAGAATTTATATATCCTTCCTGTATATCATGCTAAAATCACTTCCTTCTCTTGTGCTTTCTTCCATTCACTTTTTCTGTTCACTTTTGTCTATTTGCTGTGTGGAGGTCAAGAATAGCATGTTGATAAGGAAAAAGCAAAGGCAGAGATGCTTATTTTGAAAAATGTGTTTTATGCACTTCAACTTTGTTTTGATTTCTTCCCCTACCAGATCATTAAGAACCAAACAGCCTAACAGTTGATAGCTTTCAACCTGTATGAGTTTTGGTCCTTATGAACTGAATAAAAATTTTAATAAAAAACAAATACTGAAGTCATGATTACAAGACTCTCTTGAAAGGAACAGTCTTAGAGTTTATCATATCTGTGTTTCCAGAACACTTCAAAGGAAGCTCATTCTTTTCTCCTACAGGACTGTCTGCTGTGCATGGTGAGAAAGTTTCTGTTGGCATCACAGCTTTACAGAGCTAAAGGCTAAGAATAGCTTTCACATAGATGTTACTTCTGCTGGAACTGCCAGAGTTCAGAAATCGCATCTGGATGGGTTACAGAAGGGTTATTAAATAACAAATAAGAACAAAGAGCACGATTTTTAAAAGACAGAGGATGAACAGAATTTTATCACTTAAAAAAGAATCTAGGTTTAGCTGAGTGTTCACTCAGTTCACAAACCTTAGAACCGATTTTTTTAAATGTAAAATTTTAAGCAAATAACATTGGATAAAGTGAAGACACCCAATTAGATGTCCCAAGTGGAACAGCTGAAAGCCAAAAACAAATGAGTGAATGTAGTTTTATGCAACAAGCTCCACTGTTCTCCAAATTCTATGAAGACATCACAACATCTACACGTCTAGGGAAAGAAACATTTTAAACTAAAACGCTATAACCACACACAACTTTTGTAATACGAAGCAAGCTTTTATATTGAACTAATTTTAAGATCTATACCACATTTAACCAAAGTCACTCCTGCCTCTGATTAGCAATTTGAAACACAGCCTGAAATTTTAAGATCATGGTAATGACGGCCCTCATTGTTCTGAAATCAGGTTACTGTTGATGTACTGAAACTGTTTGAGACCAGTTCATGTTGAAAAAAGTGTACCAACCAAATTCAACCAACTTTTTAAAGAGCATAATCTTTTGTCATTTAGGATTTTGTTGCAACTAATCCATTGCTGCTTTCAGATGACTAACAGGTGAAGGTGGAAGCCAATATAAACAAGCTGTTCTTGAGTTTGTTTTTCAGTATTTTGGTGCAGAGCAGCAAAGCTCTGGTGCAATAGAAAGGACAGCCGAGTGCCTTCAGCTGCTCCTTTCTTTATTTTGTGCCAAGTTATAGCAAATGTTTGGTGCTGTTTAGGAAAAGCCACAGCATATCAGAATGGAATGATTGATCCAGACAAAGTAGACTCAGTCACAAAGCAACTCTCATACTTAGCATCAAGTAACACAGATTTATTTAGGGGCACAGTGTGATCTATCAAGTCTTCATGATTTCACAGTACCTTTACCATTTAGGAAAGACAGTCTTTGTAAAATACCATGTATAATCATGATTCATTATTCTTCAATATTGTAAATTTTAGCACAGAGCAGACACTAACAAAATGGAAATTAACTACTATAAAATTTAAAAGTAATAACTGATGATAATGAAGCTTGCTGAACTTCAGCATATCACTTACAGACGTTAAGGCATTCTTCAAGCCAACTATTTGTGCAGATGGAGATGATGATGCCTCATGCTCTAGCATCTGCTTCAGCTTTTCCCTCTCTGTAGATATGCTGCTGAAAGCTGACTTCAAGGTGAAGTACACTAGAACCATTTTGTAAAAAAAATGAGGTTAAAAGCAGCTACACATAACACAGCAGTTACGTCAAATTTCAATGAAACATCATTTACGGTGATAGAAACAAGAATCTAGTTTGAGAGATCCAGGATAGTATATTATTCAATATTATCAGATTTTATTTTTTTTAACCAGGAGAAATGTTTATGGTAAATGCTAACACGATGACTATATTAGCCACAGTCAAAACTGCTTTGATTAATTTGTGACAGATGGCAACAAAGCTAACTAACCACTTCTGCTCTTCATTTGCTTTTGTTTCCCAATTAGCTTGAATCTTCAGATGGTCATGATTCTACTCCACATTCCTTTATGAATTCCAGTGGGGGAGGGGAGAGAAGGAGAAAAATAAATCAATCAAGAAGGCAGCTATAACACATACAGTGTCACAGCTATAGAGTTAGTATTCTCACCACAAGTTAACAGTGGTGATTCATTTTGGGTACAACGACATTTCAGCTTGTTAGATGATTTATTGACTCAACAGCTGAGATCCTGAACGCAATGATGCTCCCACTTCTTTCTGAGTCCTTTTCACTAGCCCAAAGCAGGCAAATTAAATAATAGATCACACAAGGTTTTTTTTGAGACATCTTTTACATAGCCATGAGGAATAAAAATTTAATCTGGTAATGTTTATGTAGTATTTCAACATTCATCATTCTGCAGAACTAGCAGATTTTTGAGGGACTGTTCAAGTCTTACAATAAAATCACAAGAATAGGAAATGCAAAAATTTATCAGGGAATTTACCAGTGAAATGGAGATTAAAAAAAAAAACAAAAAACAAACCCTGAGTGTAGATGCATGGGAAGAGTAAAGAACAAGGCATGTTTTATATCTCCCAGGTTTAATCTGAATAATTATTACCTTATTGAGTATTTCACGTAAGATAACTTAATCTTAAAAAGAAAATAATCCTTAAGTGTATTTCATCATCAGAAACCATTATCAAAACTAATTTTCACAGTTTAATCTATGTGAAGAAATCTAACAACTTCCTTGGGGGTGAAGAGGAAGATGTGTCCATTACAATCTATTTTACATTAGCCTTTCACATGTAGGAGACATGACCAGAACCCTCAGTGACCTTACATCTCATTTAATAGCTGGTATACTAACATAAATTTTCAAGAACTTTTATAGAATAAAGTACTAACAATACATTTCAGCTGTATTAAATGTTAAAGAATAAGTTCTCTTTTTTTCCAGAAAGCTGGTGGTATAAAGTAGTTTTTGCATTCTTAATAAAACGTACTGTATTAAATAGCATGTAGTCCTTTGTCCCTTTAGTGCATAGTTCAATCTAACCAAAACTTGTGACACAGACATTTTAGTTAACATCATCTTGAACAGGAGAATTCAAGTGCTCCTGTAGATAGCAACTTTTCCAGCTGTGCTCCCACCCTTTTTTCTAGTTTCAGAAAACATGCATCAGTTTTGATTACAATTTACTTTATAAAGTTTACTGCTGAGATAGATATATTCTTTCCATAACAGAATCAAGATACACCAGCACCAGAGGGCAAAAACAATGAAAGAATGCATACTGGTAACATCAAACAACTCATCTTATACAAAAAGGAGCAACACCTATCCTTCCAAAAGTCTTTCAGACATAAATGCACTTAAACAATAGCAATGTTTCTGGTCTGAGGGTGACAGGGCTAAGTATTTCTATGAAGAATGACTTCAAGAGACAAAACATTTACAGTCAAGCTGCCCCTCCTGCAGCTTCACATGATTTTACTCTTATGTATTCACTAAAAATAGGTTACTACCATAGCAACCTTTCCATCACCAGCAAATGGTGAACTCTCAAATACTGTGAGCCAACGTTAGTATACAAACATACTTGTGCTCATCCACACTTGGGCAACAAACAGAATCTTGATCTAACATATTAAACAAAGGGAGGCCCTTCATAAAAAATAAAAATGGGACAAGTCATTTTGTTCAAAAGTCTCAAGACATCAACATTCACAGTTCCACAAGGGAATTAAAGGGAGGGCATTTTGTGCTTTTTCTAAATATTAAAAAGGACCTGTTTTCAGAAATCACATTGAGATGATATAAAATATGGAAAACAGACTTTATTTACCTTTATGTGCAATATGAAATAAGTCCTCCTGCATTTTAGTAAATTCTGATGATGTTTCAGAGCCATCAGAATAGTTTTTCTCTTCTACAAAATCTATTGTAGATAAGTTAGGATTGGAAGCATGCAGTCTCATAGGGGCAGAAAATACTGAAGGCACCTGTAAGGATAACAGTAAATTTGTGATTGTCTCTGTCTTGTTTATTAGACAAACTGTAAAGAATTTTATTTTTAATTGTTCATATCTGGGACACCAAAGCTAACTGAACTACCGTTAGCAAAAGGCTTGGAATAGATGAAAACACTGACAAAATTTTGCCCAAGATTTCATAGTTGGAGATTTGACAAAACTCCAAGAAAGAAGTCCATTGAGAGTTGTAACATACCCAATAGTATTTTTTTTCCTCTGCTTATAAGTATCTAATAAAAAGCACACTGGATGCAAATACAAGAAAAACTACCTGGAGAATTTGCAAAAATAGGTACTGCTAAAAAGAGAAAAAATAGCAGATACACCTCCCATACCCCCAATTGGAGACAAACTGGAAAAAATGAGTGAAAACCAGGTTTATCTCCTGAACAAATTAGTATAGATCCTACTGCAGATTTTAACAAGGACATGTTAGCGTTTTGTACATTATACCACTGCGTAAAATGAGTCAGAGTCAAACAGTACTTCAAAAGGATTCTTATTTCCTAAACTGGTTATGCCAAGAAATTATCAATAAGTAAGAATTGAAGAAAAGATGGGCTACTGAAAGGACTGAAGTCACCTGTAATGTTCCCTTAGCTTCTTTCCCAACAACTCTAGATCGCCACCTCCTATGCGTTCTCTTTTCCTTCTTTGGGCTTTCAAAAGGTCCAACCTTTTAATAACAAGCAAGACAAAATATGGATTGTCATAAAAGTAGCAAAGTTAAGAGTAAATAATTTGATCATTTAGAATTTGGGATTGCTTTTTGGAATAGCAAGGGAAAAGAGGTTTTTTTGTTTTTTAAACAACAAACCTGCATAGCATTTATAGCAGGCGCTGAATAGGTCCTGTGAAGGACATCCATGCTCTGTAACAGCTGGTTCATTTCCAGTAAATATGCATGACAAGTGGAGAGATCTGTTTTGAACAGAAGAATATTTTCAGTTGCTCTGAAGTAACAAATATAATGGAAGTTTTTTGTTTATAGGCTAGCTTTATTTTCATTGTTGCTGGCTTAAGTTATTATTTGACAAAAAAACAGAATATTAGACAACTGGGTAAAACAGCTTGCATCCTTCTGTCTTCATAATATTAAAATGCCTCTATAGAGCCTGTATTGTGACATACGGTGTTTTGTCATAGTTGGTTGTAGAAATACAAGATAAAATGAGTTACTGCCATATAGGACTAGTCACCCAAACTAGTGACCGTGGAGATGGTAAAAATGCCATAGACTTTGAGACTGAACAGTTCACGCAGAGCTAGAGATGAAACACCTCCTAGTAGGTAAAAAACATGCATCATGCAGACACTTTTACCAACATACAAGAGATCTTTATTATTTCAGGAAAGCATGAGCAGAAGGTGATTTGGAACCCAGTTTAAGACACTTCAAGTTTTACCAACAAGTGTAACGGTCGTAAAAGAAAGTACATTGGAATACATAGGTTCCTTTAAGAGATCCTCCAAACTGGTACCCTCTTCATTCACTAGCTCTCTTGAAAACAAGCAAGCAGGCAGGAAATCAACAACTACCTGTAATGACTACTTATGCTATTGTAGTGTCATTGTCAAGAATTAGTAAAGGAAATATCAGTTTATTTTCTTCTTCCTTCAAATATTATTACCTCTTGAGCATTTTTCCATGTCTTCAGAAGACTGCAGCCAAGATGGAATCCTGGACTCATTACTCGAAAAGGAGAATGACAAGTTACCACCAGCTGACAGCGAGTTTTGTTTGGTCAAGCTTCCTGCCTGTTACAGAGAAAAACAAGAAAATAAACAAATAATGTTATAAACTCGTAAGGACAGATTTTGACAAGCCACAATTGAGGTCCACAATCAGTGACAAGGACTGAAGGCATCAGCAGCACGGCGGTAAAAAAGCATACGAACTGGATTATGCATTATAGTCATCGAGTGCACTGTTAGGACATAACATACAAAAGCAGATACAAAAGGCATAATAAAATTTTGCTGAAAACTGAAATTTGAAGAAAGGTAAAACTCTGCATCAATTAAATCAATTTAATACATTTAAAGTGCCACATGAGGCACAGAACCAAAACAGCACATTCTCTTCCTTTTATATGATTCCTGAAGAAGCCCAAAGGTAACTGAGATGTAACATGCATATGGTTGTTTAGAGCTTAGAGTTGTTTTTCAATGAAGAAAGCATGATCCTAGATGCTTTCTAAAAATTTTACTCTAAGTCATATAACTTTAGTATGGATTTAGCTTGATAGACCTTAATACACGTATGACCTCCATCTTACTTTGGTAAAGACTATCACTTTGCAATGTCTCAGTAATCCTTTTCAAACTTTCAGGAGTGCTCACTATCACATGCTACAAGAAATGCTGAAAGTGATGAGTAAGAGTTAATTGAGCAGCACAGTGAAATAGTTCCCAGTGGAAAGAAATTTCCACTCAATACTGGTTATGCCAGTGCACAGTGGCTTATAAAGCTGTTTTCTTTCTAATGTAACAACAAGTAGTACCCATACAAACGTGTAACTATTTTTTAGACTTTATTAAATCTTTTGCCTTTTACTAATATATACATCAGGAAGTTGCATAAAGCAATTAATACTTTGTCAATATTTTATTTAAAATTTCACCTTATCTGCCATTACATGGCCACTTCACTGATGATAAGAAGAGCTAAGTTGTCTGGCTCTTCTCTAAAACACAGATTTTACAAAATGTGCCCATCTTTTACCAAGACTTAGGAGTACTTGTTTTAAAATTATTCCTATGAAACATCATATCTCTCTCATTCTATCGCTGTTCTCATAGTTAGCCTTCTAAAGTTTATAATTCATGCTTCAGTTTGAGTTGCAAAATACTGTGTCGGTGATGTCATTCATCAATTTATGTATCATGTAATAGCAGGAAGAATTAATAAACATAATAGTTTTTAAATTAACCTATGCAGCTCAGCTGTTTTATTCCTACATAAAACAGTATGAGTTGCAGTCATCTACATACATAAACACAAATGATTCCAGTACCTTTCAAAGCTGAAGTGCACTGAACTTAAAGATAAGGAATGTGTTGACGCTGGGAGAAAAATCCCACGTTTATCTAATGCAAAATAACCAATTATCTTCCAGAACATATATACGTGAAGGGCATAATTAAGAGCAAAGAAACAAGACGACATTGCTAAGAAACAGTCAAGAGAGTTTGTGAAGCTCCAGTTAGCATAATTTTGATTGTAATCAGTATGGTTGAACATTAGAATCCAAGAATTTCACATAAATATACATAGATACATACATTCATTCCCTAAGAGCTATTTAAAAAGTGTGAAAATTGACCAGGTGTCTCTAAAGGCAAACAGAATGCAATGCAAAGTTCACTAGTTATGTTTTTCCCAAAATATTTATCCACTGGATTGATATCAATGAACATTAGCCTAGGGCTGGTGTAAATTGGCAAACCTCCATTTAGCTTCAGCAGAGCTAAGGTGATTAACTGCAGCTTAAGAACTATCCCCTTCTATTTTTCACATGAAAATAAGCAGGGCTTCTTTGCAGTGCAAATCTGGATTAATAAATTAAAAGTGAATTAGAGTCTCTCACGCTAAAGAAGAAATAGTTAATAACCTGACAGCAAGCACAGATTTTACATATGCTGGTCACGTAGATCCTTTTTATATATTTTCTATTATTCTTTGAGAGCAAAGGCATAGAGATAAATGGACATTGTTATGTTCTATTTTTGCCCTCAACATCGTACTCCCCTTCTATCCAAGTTGTCTTCTGGGAGAAAAGAACTCAAGTGCCCCAGAAGGTTTTCCATTTCCTCGCAGACTGGCTGTCAGAGTCACAGAGGTGCTGGCTGCACAAAGCCACACACACTGCTCTTTGCTGAACACTGCTGTTACCAGAGGGCAAGTCTGCTCTTTCAGTTGCCATTGTGCACAGATCCCCTCCCTCTCAGCCAATAGCAATAAGCAGTTCTGGCACATGTTTGTGCTTGGTGAAAAAAAAAAAAAAAAATTGTCATTCAGCTACAGCATTGTCCTGCCACAGTAGCAAATATTCTCTCATATCAGGACCTTTTAGACAGACCCTAAGCTCCACACAGCTACAGTCAAACTTCAGAATGACATTGTTCCAAATGATACTATAGCTATTCAACCCCCATTGTAATGCAGCACAGATTTAGTCTTACGCAGCTATTATACTTTTATCAAGCCAGAGACGCACACGTGGATAAATAAGAGATGCTGTCTCATCTTTAACAGTCTTTCAGGGTCAGAAGGGGAAGTATAAACACTGCACATTTATTTCCTACATTTTTTTTTCCTCCTGTTAGTAGCAGAGGATGCACTGTGCTGTGCATCTTTGAAAGCAAAAAAGATGTGTGAGAAAAAATACTGGATAAGTTGACAAAGCACTCCTAAACATCCACCTAAAATTTGACAGATGGAGACTCCTCAGTACACAATGATAAATGTGCTGCTGACTGCTCAGGAGGAGTTCCATCAAATCAGTAAAAAGAAAATCCTCAAACTACAGGTAGTGTGAAATGAACCTGCTCAGACTGTACAGCAATATAGCCAGGAAAAAGAATACCTTAGGCAGTAGGATAACAAAGAAGTGACTGCTGCATAAGATATATTTGTGGAGTTGACAGAAAACAGTTACAGTAAGTACAGCACAATATTGCTTAAAAAAAATATATTTTCTCAAAAGAGGTCTGGTTCTACACTACAGCAGAAGCATTTCTTTTGTGAACATCAGCCAGTCAATATGCAAAGTGCTGGAGACAGACTGTGTTCAGGTGCTGAATAAAATCACTGCTTTGTGAGGCTACCTCACAAGATGTAAATAGTACTCTTAGGTTACAGCTGTTCAGTAATCCCTATCTACTAGTTAACCACAGTCAGATGTATTACTGTATAAGGGAGAGGTTTTATTAGCTAAAGCAAGAATGGAAATCTGAGAAGAGGAAACGTATATAGATATAACTGAGTGCTCTTCTGTGACTCACATTAACATTCACCAGCACGTATCAGACAAATAATAGTATACAGTCAAAAATCATGAGGATTCCAACTTAATATCCAGTTTTAAAAGTCATTGTGAAAATATAATTTACTTCATTAAAACACTGGTACAACATTAAAAAAATTTACCAGCATCACAGAGAAAAGTACTTGCTGGAGTAAATTTATAGATAATAATATTTTGCTCTTTATAGACCACAAATTAAACCCATACACATTTTCATTATGCTCTTTACTTCAAAACAAATCAGGCTAATTTAATCACTGATAAAAGCTCATTGTTTGTAAATCATCACTATTACCTTTCTACTTGGAGTCAAATCACACAGACCAGGGCCAGAATCCACAGTAGTAGATACTGGGAAGAAAAGATTATTGACGTCATGAGGAAACATGGAGATTTCATTCTGACGATACATCCTGTGATGACGAAGCTTTGCCACCCACTCATCAAACAGCTCCTGAGATTTCACCTATGCAAAATTTCAGATGTTATAACACCCACATTCAAAATTGTTAGCAAAGAAACTAAGATATCTTGTACTCATCAGATAGCTAGCCTGGTTGACTTCTATTGGCAAAATACCAGGAAAGTTTTTCTAAAAGTTTTTCTCCTATTAGAAGATACTACGCATGAGCTTAAGCATGACAAAATTAGTCACAGGATAAAATAAAAACAAAAAAGAAACTTCAGTTATCAGAGCTATGATTGCAATGCAAAACCCACTGCTTAGCAATTTCTAGAGAGAAAAAAAAGCAAACAAAATTTGTCACTTCTTAGCTGCAAGTTTTGAGGTTTCATCAAGGTTCAACTACCACCAAATGTAGTGGGGTACTGAGTCTGGAACAGCAAAGCTTCTCATGTTATGAAATGTAAAACTAGTCCATTGAGACTAAAAGTTAAGCTATAAGTGAAATTAATAGATCTCCTGCTGTTAAAAATAGACGCGATCTTCACCACACAGACTTCATGTTGTTATACTCCTACAGTACGGGGAGCAAATTTTGAACAATGTTAAAGACTTACCTTCAGATGATATATCTGCTCTTCCGTATCTAAGTCTATACATTTTGTTGATTTCTTTACAGACATGACAGAAAGTCCAACATCAATACAGCCATGAAGTTTCCCTCTCTCTATCTGCAGAAAATAGAAAAGAATACAATAACCCTAGAATACTTCAAGATGGACATTACCTGCTTTGATCATCCTTCTTCTGCATTCAACCTGCTGTTAAGAGCTGCTGAAACTCTACTTCTCTTTACTAGCAATATGAAATTATTATTTCAGATAAAATAAAATACTGTTGTTACCTTATACTGGCTTTAAAGGGTTTTAAATCACTTACATCAGCTTGGCATTTAGAATACTTCAAAATCCCTCTGTCCAAAAAGAAGTATCTCTGCAAAAAAGAAGAGAATTAAAAGAAAAGTCACATGAACAGCCAGAAAAACAAACAACCAAAGCAAACAAAACCAAAAAAATACCACTGAAACACGCCCGCACATTTATTCAGAGAACATCTTTCCCTGTCCTTAGTTGTTGTTTTTTTTTTCTTTTTTTTTTTTTTCCTTCTTTTCTTTTTCCCCAGTAACAACACATTCAGTATGTCACATTTACATGGCACCAGGCTTTCATACAGATGTTCCTTTATTACCTTGTGCCAGCCCTTCAAAGGCCATTTTCTTTTTTTCAGCAAGCAGCCTTCCTGTTTCTGTGGTTCCTGGGTACAATTCATTGCTCCCCGGAGTCCTTCTACAATTTCCCAGCTGTCCTGCTTAAACAGAAAATACAAATCTAGATCTTGTTTCTTCCAACTAACAGAACTGCTAAGACAGATCCAAGATGAGTAAAAAGTCAAACTACAGGGTTTCCATCATTAATAACTTCCTCAGCACCTCATTACCTGGATGTCTATAGTAATAAAGGTAAGAAACTGTAAATATAACAATGCAATAGTAAAATAAACATGTGATGATAAAATAGAAAAGGCTTATTTAATAAGTCATCTACTATCAACATTTTTCTATTAGATAAGCAATTAAAAGACTGAAAAATCCTGAATAAAAGTTACACTGTGAAGAAGCACACATAGCATCAATGACCTGGATGAAAGGATAGAGAGCACCCTCAGCAAGTTTGCCAATGATGCAAAGGCAGAAGTGGCTGACACACCAGAAAGCTGTGCTGTCATTCAGCAAGGCCTGGACGGGTTGGAGAGTTGGATGGAGAGGAGACTTATGAGGTTCAAAAAGGGCAAATATGGAGTCCTACACTGAGGAGGAATAATTGCAGGCATCAGTACAGGTTTAAAGGCTGATTTGCTAGAAAGGAGCTCCGTGGAGAAGAATCTGGGTGTTCTGATGGCACAGGTTGACCAAGAACCAGCAGCATGCTCCTGTGAGCAGTACAGTTGATACAACAAAAGGAAGAGAACCTCCAGAAGGATCTGAACAGGCTTGAAAAGTAGGTCCATGTGAACTTAACAGGTTTCACAAGGCCAAGAGAAAGGGTTGTGCTCAGGCCAGGGCTATCCCAGACACATACAGACCTGGAGAAGAATTCATTGAGAGGAATCCCGCAGAGAAAGACTTGGAGGTTCTGGAACAAAAAGCTGGACATGACACAGCAGCGTGCTCTTGTAGACAGGAAGACCAACTGTATTCTGTGCTGCATCAAAAGGGTTAGGGTTAGTGGAGAGAGGGAATTGATTGTTCCAATCTGCTCTGCCCTTGCAAGGTCCTGTCTAGAGTACTGTGCGCAGGCCTAGGGTCCCCAGCACAGGAAATAAGGGGAGCTGCTGCAGTGGGTTCAGAGGAAGATGATAAAAGAGCCAGGCTGGGTGGGGCCCTGGACAGTCTGATTTAGTGGGTGGCAACCCTACCCACAGGCAGGGGGGGTTGGAAGTAGGTGATCTTTAAGGTTCCCTCCAACGTAAGTCATCCTATGATTTACTGACTCAAAAACTTTAAAACAAAAATTAACAAAGGCATTAGATGTGCTCCCATCTCCAGGATCATTCAAATTCAGCCAAAAAAACAAACAAACAAAAAACAACAGAAGTTACATCAGGTTATGTATGCCTATTACCAGAGTAAAAAGACAAAATGGCAAATCATCTTCAAAAAGACATACATTAAACAGCTTAATCAACACAACCTCTTATTCCAAGATGTAACTGGCAGCACTCCACTATTTTGCTATTATCTTCCTTGCACTGCATTTTATGGAACAAACTACAAAGCTGGTCAGCTTCTCTGACTTGTGTTCACTCTGCCAATCCTACAGAAAAAAATGCAAGCATCAGAAATGGGGTTGACCAGCTCTCATCATTCAACACTCTACAGATCACATAGTTATCACAGAACCACAGAATCACCAAGGTTGGAAAAGACATCCAAGATCATCCAAGATCAACTGTTCACCTACCATCAATATCTCCCACTAAATGATGTCCCCCAGTACAACATATAAACACCTCTGGGGTTGGTGACTCTACCACCTCACTGGGCAGCTTGCTCCAGCATCTGACCACTCCTTCAGAGAAATAGTATTGCTAACAACCAATCCAAATCTCCCCAGCACAACTTGAGACCATTTCCTCTAGTCCTACCACTAGTTACACAGGAGAAGCAGCTGATTCCCATCTCATCACAACCTCCCTTTTGGTAGCTGTAGAGAGCAAGAAGATCTCCCCAAGCCCCGTCTTCTCCAGATCTGCCACCTGAAGGTAAGTCAAAACTGCAGTCACGCTAAATGAAGTTATTATAGCATGCATTTTATGCTTCTTTAATTCCTCCAATCTAGAATATTTTGACAGCTACTTAAATATCATGATTTCATGTCTACTATATATAGAAATATAAATTTCTATATAGAATTACTATTTTTCCTAGGAAAACAAGAAGTTATGCTCCATATTCTTTATTCATTTTTGTCTATTTGGGATTCACATAGGAGTCTGAATAATCATGGATTCTCCCCTGCTTAGGGATGAATTATTCTCATCAGGTCAGGGAAGAGAGAAGCTACTCAGACACAAGGAGTTAATGTGCTGAAGGCAGGCAGAAGGCTCCCTGGGTTGTTGCCAGCTTATCAGCTCATCACGAACCACAGCAGTGCACGCTCTGCTGCAAGACACCAGGGTGAGCCTTTTGTGGGGTGAAGCCATCAGAGAATGAAGCAGAGCCAGCTTGTGCCCCTGTAGTGACAGTTAGCTGCAGCTTGCTAGCTGCAGCTTGACAGCTATTGAAGTACAAAGGCAGTTATAAGCTTCCGCAATTAAGGTGTTTTTTTTTCTTTTTTGACAGAGCCTTTCAACCTCGAAAGCAAAAAAGAAATGATATTCCACCAACTCTTTTACCATAAATGGAAATGCTTGGCCACCAAATGCTTTCTACAGTGAGTTTGGAATTCTTTTTCTAGTTGAAGATTATTTAATTAACACTTTTATAATTACTAGCATTAGGAGTCTATGATGCCTGAGCAGCCCCTTAAAATATCAAGTACAGTGTAATGCTACAATTTATATTAAGTCAGTAACTACTGAACTTACTGCTACTCCCTATCCACAGGTGGATAAAATCACCCCTCCTTGGGAAATATGTTCTGTAAATGAACCAATAAAAAACTAATACTGACATGACTTTTCAAACTGGGGACTTGAAAAGAGGTAAACATCAAAAAGTAATGAAACTTGATGGAACAAGTGAAAGATGATTCTAATTAAGAACTAACAGGAACATTTTGAACATTAAGAATAACGTCATGTTCACGGCTGTTTTTTTCCTTCTTGAAATTAGCCAGAAGAGTTTAAAAATTGTATTACACGATTACCAAGCAAGTTATTTCCACTGCCTTATTCAAAATATATTACACTGCAGTATACAAACAATTTTTTCCATTGAAAACCAACTTGATAGCAGTCAAGGCTAGCAAGCAGTATGACCTTTTCAGTATTCTTATTGTTCTGCCTAATGAATCACATTTCTTGAACTTTGGATCCAGTTCTCAAAGTCTTTGCTTAAGATTAAACACAGCATATTGTTAACAGAGCAGTCTACTTGTAGGAGACAAGAACAAATTTGAGCACAGTCAAAAAAGCAAGAATCCAGATTCACTTTTTTAATAGGGATAAATTTGGGAAAAAAAAGAGACTGCTGAAATTAGATCCATTCTACATTGGGCATATGAGGTAAAGACAAAGCAGCTGAGAAATAGTAGAGCTGTAGTACTCCCACCTGGAATACACGCTGTGTCAATAGTTTGGGTAAAACTTTTAAATATAGAGCATATTCCTGGCTTGTATTTCAAATAAGGTTTACTTTGGGCAGCTTCTGCAATCCAGGCATAAGAGGTTTCCCCTGTTCCTGAACAAAATCCGCATTTCTCACTGTTTCTACTAGTCAGCAAGCTGGTCAAAAAGCGCCTTTACAATGAAAAAGTGTGAAAACAGAAAGAAAAGCAGAAGTAGGAGCACCCTTTGACTAGGACCAACAGCTGGCCAAATCTCAGGTGATGGCAAGGCTCCTACTCACATTTCTGTTAATCTGCGAACCTCACAATTCAATTGCAAACTTTACATTAAAAGTTCATAAAATGAACTGGATATAGGTTCAGAACTTTTAAAAGCACAGGACTATTTAATCAACTTTATTAACCAAGGAAATGCAATGAATATTTCAGAGAACAGCTTGGAAAACCACTGGATAACTACTAGACTCAACACTGCAATTACAGCAAGCATTTGGTTCTGTTGGCACCTTCTGGCTAGAACCTTTCCCATCTGAGCCTCTAACTCCCACAGTTTCCAAAACATTGCACTGTGACTTTTTTTTTTTTTTTTTTTTAAAGATCTGTTCAGATTTTAAACGCTACCAGGATTTTCATCAGTATTTAATTCTTCAAGATATCTGACACCACATTTAATGAGTAAAAAGCATCAGCTGCTGCAGAAGCAAAAAAAAAAAAAAAACAAAACCCAAACAACTGCTTACTCTAAAATGAAGACAAATTAACCAAACTGGTTGGTTATTATCTGTTCTCATCTGTCTGAAATATCTGAGGAGCAAATTGGAAATACAGGATTTCCTGAAAGGTACTGGAATCATTCAGATTATGGTTTATTTTATTGATTCTTATCACAAATAGAGAACTGGAAAAGATACCCCAAAACCATCATGCTAAATTGAGGGCAAATACCCACAAAACGTTACTGCTTTGCAACACCCACCTCCTCCTGAAATGAAAAAACAAAAACAAAACAACAGCTGAATTGCATTAACAATGCCCAGTTCCAGACTAGTAATGTTTAAAGATTACAACCCTACCAAAGATTTTGCATTATTATGGACCAGTATGTGCACAAAATGATCAACTCTGCATTTGCCGCCTGATGCAGACACTTCACTCAAGGTTGTGGGAGGAAGCACTATTGTTACATATCACAGGTTCAAAGATGCTCATTTTAGATCAGCAGAGGAATTCACACTATAGTTGAAGGGTTCCTATGGATAAGGAAAAAAAAAAAAACCAACACGCATACACTTCAGTCTCTAGAGATAAGTCTGCTATTAGGTAACTGCAGTCATTTTCTATATTTAATAAAAACCTTCTTGTTTTCTGCAATATTGCATACATACAGCTCCTCAAGGTGAATTATTTCAGGAGAAAGAATGAAGTAACAAATTTGAACGGCTCTCAGACTGATGCTTGCACTTACTGCTTCCCAAATGAAAGAGATGACAGTGCCAGACTCTCTTCCAGTATAAAATGCAGTCAGTTGTACCGAATATTTTAAAGTGCCAAAAATAGAAGCTTGCTTTGTGGAGGATAAGAGCTGGCATCAGCTGCAACTAAAGCATTTGTTACGGTTCATAAAATTGGCAGAAATTATTCAATTTTCTTTTTTAGAACATGGAGTATTTTTAAGCAGCTCTCCTCTCATAAGGCTTTTCCCTACTGTATTTATTTTAAAAGTTCATTAGCATATTAGACTTAGAAATTATTATCACAACATATCTTTTTTTGCACGTAGGTCAGTTCAAATGTAATGACCAATACCAGTTTTCCTTGTTCACAAAACAGTCTGAGCTGCAACTTTGTAGAAGACAGGCCCTCCTGTGACTGACAGAGAAAGGCAGAGAGATAGGACGTGGCAGCAGCCTCTAACCTATTATGAGGCTTCAAGGTGAGGTGCACAGAGTGGAACAGCGTTAACTGTTAGCATCTTCAGTTCACGCTGCAAATGCATTGCATCTGACAGAAAAGGGACACCAAGCAAAAGGCAGGAGCAGGCCTCTCAAAGTCCTGCAGGTCTGTTTCAATCAACACACTGCAGCCACAGTATCACAGGTCTCCATTTATGCTCCACAATGCTGACGCATGTCGCTCTGTGAGGAGCAACAACTACATTTTAGCAACCACTGGGACCCCAGGGACAGCCTTACACATCCGTGGTTTCACATCCCAATCTCACATTGCTTACTGCTCGATGCCAGTGTACTTTCAATGGGCTTTAGGACTAGGGGAAGCTTAGATCCCACTACTATGGCAAAAAAAAAAAAAAAAAAAAAAAAGGAGCCCTCCTGATTTTCCAGGGTTCACTTTCACTTAACTAGATTAAAAGAACTACCATGTCCACGTCAAATCAGCAGCACAGAAAAAAGCACCCAGGCAGATCTGTCATTAACTTGCAAGTAATGAGCCTAGCTTTGACGGTGCTTGAAAGGAACACAGAGGTTTAACAAAGCCTTCCATCAAACTGGTAGATAAAGGAAAGAAAATGAAAATCAACTATTCACTCCACATTCCACAGAGCACATGGCAAAATTACTTAAACTTTCAAAACACTGTTAATACAGGAGTTAACAGTATCATACTGATCTTCTAATAGGGCTTTGGAAAAAAAAAAAAAAAAAGCCTATATGTTGTACGTGTGATACTTCTTATATTTCATACAGGAGATACTTTAGAAGTTCTATAGAACTTCAGATTGCTGCTGTTTTCTACACAGTACACCTCTGCTTCTATTTAAACTAACATGCAGAGGAGAAGCACAAGTAACTCTAGTTGGCAACCTTATTCATCCCAGTCTTGTTAAGCACCTGGTTGACAACACCTACTAGGAGGTGGACATTATGGACAGTCGACAAAGCTCCAACTTGTACTAGTACAAGAAGCTGAAAAGAAAAAGGAGCAATTAATGATAAAAACAATAGTATTCAATGAAACGTGACAAGAACTCCTCTGCGAGAAAGGAGAGAAGAAACTGAAAACAACTGAACTCTACATTGTCATGGAAAGATTCTGGCAATTCTATGTTATTATATTACAATCTACACTAGTAAAGAGAAGGTCTCTTTAAGAAGGTGCAGGTCTTAATAAATTGCAAGACTAGAGACTCTCTCAAAGCACTAGTGAGTCCAGGCTAGTAAGTACTGCAGTAGATTGACTTTGTTAGACCTAAAAGACCATCTTTCTGCATGCAGCAGAGATTAACAATCATCAAAACTTTCACTGAAACCTTCTATCAAAGCAAATTATAATTAACAAATGAATTTTAAAATCATACGGGAAAAAAGACCCACATAAGTTATTTTCAAGTAAACATCCAGAGCGCGTACTGCACAGGTTATTTAAATCTTTGCTTTCCTCAGCAAAGCAGTTTGTTCTGTAAGCTGCATGACTACTTCAATGTAAAAAAAAAAAAAAAAAAAAAAAAAAAAAATTAACATGAAAAATATAAAAAAACATCAGGCAATAAAATAAAGAACAACAGTACACTGCTACACACATAAGCCTGTGTAGAGAAACACAAGGGGAGATAACCAGTACCAAATTACCCAAAAAAGGATGATAGCCACAATCCAGTTAAAGAAAGAAAGGTTTGCTTACCCATCCCAAGGATCAGGGCTCACTGAATTCTCCACAAGGAGGGATCTCCTGGAAGAGATCCCTGCCTTATGGCAACCAGCCCTTACATGAGGCTTAAGGAGGGGTGGAGCCAGGTTCCAGGCCTTCTGGTTGCACAGATGAACTGCTTTCACCTGTGCTCCCAGGGCTGGCTGTGTCCTTTCACCAGGTGCTCAATCACTATTTCAGGCTGTGATTTAACAATTCCCATACAACACTGACAATCCTGAAAAAAACTGTAATGTAGATTTGTTTGTTTGTTTTAGCATTGTAGACTATTTTAAGACCTCACGATCACTTCAGCAGATGCAAACAAAGCTATAGGATGAGGTTGGAAGTTATTATATTTAATAAGAGGTAGATAAGTATTAAAGAATTCCATACAAACAAAGAAGTCTCTATTTAAAAAGAGAAATCATAAAGACACTAAAAATTTCATGTGCTCCAACTCATGCAAGCTGGCTTATCATTAATACTTCCTGAAAACATAGACAAGTCATTGGACTCGTTTAGGTTGCCTAGATGCAAAAGAATCCAGTTACTTACTTGGTACTGCAGTGACTGACCATAAAAATTGTAATACTGAAACTTTAATCAAAGTGGAGATATTTATCACCATGCCTGGTATGAAGAAAGATGAACTGTACTGCCTTCAAAATAGACTGGGAAACAACCTACTTTACACCTTCATTCAGCTTGACCTGATAGGTGCATGAAGCAACTTAGCCATCTGCCTGACAAGGAGCACAGATGCACCTGGAATACAAATAAAACAGTAAATTCTATCTGCCACACCTGTCAGGCATACCTTGCATTTTTGTACAGATGATAAAGGTTCAAAACACTGGGGACAGACAAGATGATAATAAGCCTTACTGATTTATTCCTTTCCTCCAAAGGGTACAGGTGAGAACAAAATGGGTAAGAAATGGGATCCACCAACAATAGTATCAAAAGCCTCAGCTTTTCTACAGATTCTAACATGTTAAATGGCAGTAAGTGATTTTCTTGTATAAATTGCTCCTGCATAAGTACAGTGATTGTACTGGCTTTGTAATGCACCAAGGGATTTAGACACGCTCATATAAATCTTACTATTTAAATACTATGTGATAGCACATGATTGACTGGAGCTGTTGGAACAGACAATACCAAATGTTTTAAATTATGCCTTTAAAGGTAATCTCATACTGAGGATATAAAAAAAATAATGTTGAAGGAAAAAGTGTCATGAAAGCAAGGATTTACTTGCTTAGTGTATGAGAAGAGCACAGCAATTCTTACAAGCACAGCACTTTAAAATGCAAGAATTGCAGACTGTAGGTGTAGGGTCAGAAGGCCCAGAAAAGCAGGTGCTCTTTCAACATGCAGCTGCATTCTCCAAAGCTGTAAGGGGATTTGGATGCTCAATTCCAATTAACATTTCAACCTGAAGCAGCTCCAAGAGCTCCACTATAGTAGCATCTGTACAAATAAAAGTTTATGTACATTGGGTGTATTGCTCATCATTTTGCAAGCATGGTTTGAGTGTATTTAAGCTTGATTTTCAGCAGTGCTACAGGTCAATAATTCTTGCCCACATGCAAAAGCTGCTGTCTTCAGCAGTCTCACTTATCAAGTACAAATGCTTACAATCAGCTTTTCACTATAAGGTTGAAAGAATAGCATAAATGATCACTTTTGCAGAAGACAATGTATGGCTTCATTTTTCATACAGAATCAGGCATCTAGATGCATTATGTTATACAAATATGTATTTTCTTAACTACGTTTCTACTACAACAACCAGCATACAGGCACTCACATGAACATTTTCAATGTCAAGTTTTGGAAAAATGCATTCTCTTTCATGCAAACCTTTCCCTGAAAACTTGAAATAAGCAGAGCTGTTACCCAGTATTCTACCACAGAAATGTTATCTTGCAGGGAGGACTTGGGATTTCAGGATCAAGCCTCCACAGCAGTAATATTTCATTACAAAGATTTGCTGTTAGCATTCCAGTTTGACAAGAGCCTGCTATTCAGGCAGGTTATATACGCTATTTTAAAAGTAATATTTGTAAAACAGGTTCAGTGCATTTCACTAAAAGCAAGATGCTACTATGGAACTTAAAAAAAAACAACAAAACACTACACACAAAAAAACAGAGAAACCACAGAAGTGATCAAATAAAACAAGAAATAGGAAAACAGAATTTAAAAAATTCATTAATATTCAAAAGCAAAAGTAACAGCCAATCTTGTAAATGAGTTCAGTTTGGTTGCATTACCTGTCGACTTCCCTGCTTAGAGGAGCAGCTGCTAGTGCTTCTTGAAGGAGACAACATTTTCTGGGATACACCAAAGTTTTTTTCTTCACTCATGATTCAAGGTCATTTATTTCACATCAGCTCACTTAGAATGTCATTAAAAGGTAATTAAGCAAATGTATTGGAAGACTCCTGAGAGAAATGCAGAACACATCCTTTACCCAAATGCATTCCAGTAGCATGATCTGCATCCCATAGAAATTCCTAAAATGAAAAAGAAAAAAACAAAATGCCAAATTTATACAACACAATCTTTTACTGCCGTCCCATAGAACAAATCATGAAATCATAATATAGCCTTTGGTAATGTAAGCTGACAACATTACTATACACTACTAGAAATTAACAGAAAAATTACTTCACAATAAATTTTCTATTATCTAACAGGACTAGCAAGAATTACTTAGTATTTATGCAGAAGACAAAGTGCAGCATCAAACATCATTTTTAAGACTTAAATTCATAATCCAGTGACAAAAAGAAGTCTAATAAAGACACAGAATACACCAAATATACAAAAAAAAAAGATCAAAACATTATTGAAATGAGGAGAAAGCATCTAATCAAATGTCTCACAAAAAGGATGTTAAGTAAATAAATAAAAAAAAAAAAACATTTTTCCAAGTTATTTGATAATTTAAACAAGTAAGCATGGCTTCAGATTGTAAAGAAAAACTAACATACAATTGTAGAGAGCTATGCAGAGCTGTTCATGACTACTCTTACCTGCAATCAAAAAGTTGTAGCTATTGTCACATCACCCACCTAACTCAGTGACTGGAAGAACAACCAGCAGTCTGTTTAACAACAGTGCTGTTTGCAGCATGTGCAAATAAAACCCAAGCCAGAAACTCCTAATAATGGATTTCCAGTGTGGGCAAGAGTTGTCATGGTAACAGCACTTTTTTAAAATGAAACAGAGGACATAACAAAAGGGTAATGCTTTACAAAACTTGGGGTGGCAGAGGAGCTTTATGAATTGTCTCTCACTTCAGATTTTATTGTCTTGGGCAAGGAATTCGCACAGGAGAAACAGTGCAAAACCATCACTGAGGAACGTAAGACACTTCCACAGGTAAGAAAAAATTAATTTCCAAAACAGGGAGGCATTACTTCACAACCCACCTGCTTGCTTGCACTGTGAGAAAAGCCCTGAACTAAGCTCACTGGTTGTTGAGTTATTCATTCATTTTTTCTTGAAGGGTCACAAACTCCTATTCAGAGAGAAGCACTATTTGAAGACCTCTAGCAAAATATTTTGTTTTAAAAATTCTAGTTTGTCTTAAGAACAAACAAGCAAAAAAAAAAAAAACCATGACAAACTGGTGCTGCATTTAAGACAGCAACAACACTATGTTGGAGTTAACCATGCTCCTAAGTGTTGTAGTCTGTGGTGTCCAACTTCTGAACAAAGACATTTTGCAGCCTACACTGCCTCTTTTGCAATACAGCTTGCTGTCACAGTTCAGCCAAGTTACTCTCTTTTTAGCTGGTCTCTCAGCATTTATTTTATCTATTTAGAAATACTCAATTACCACTAGAGTAGATCTATGCAAAGTAACAAACCATAGAATCATAAAGGTTGGAAAAGACCAGTATGATCATTTAGTCTAACTGTCAACCCACCCAACCATGCCCACTAACCATGTACCTTAGTGCCACATCTGCATGGTTCCTGAACACCTCCAGTGACAGTGACTTCACCTCTTCCCTGGGAAGCCTGTGCCACTGCAGCACTGCTTCTTCTGAGAAGAAATTTTTTCTATATCTAAACTGAACCCTCCCTCACCAGTACAACTTAAGGTCATTACCTCTCATCCTATCTCTGCTACCTGTGAGAAGAGGCTGACACCCACCTCCTTTCAGGTAGTTGTATACTGCTATATGGTCTCCCCTGAGCCTTCCCTTCTTCAGACTTGAAGTGTGACCTCTAGTACTGTAGAAATAATCTCCAGTTTCCAAAAATCAAGTGAGAAAGTAAGCTCTGCTAAGGCTGTTTCACAAAGCCAGTGATCACGATGCAAGAACCTAAAAGAAACAGAACAGCGCAGTGATGTGATAACAAGACCTGATTTAGGCCTTGCACACAAGTTTTGTACTGAAATTACTGCTGAGATTAGAAGCTTGTGCCTTGGAGAAGGTATGGACTTTTCCCATCTGAAAGATAAATTTCTGTGTGACATTTCACCAAGGACTAACTCTCCTAAAAGGTTTAAGCCATTGAGAAAACATAAAGCATAACTTTATTAATTAGTTTCAAAGTGCATTTAGTAAAACAGTTTAATGGAATATCTCTATTTATGAGCAGAGATCAAACACTCATGATAGGAACGTAAAAAAGCTTTCTGTAAACTCATAGTTCAAATATCCCCTCAAAATTGCCACACAGCAAGAGTTTAACTAGTGTTCACTACTCATCCAGATGCTAACATGGTCCTCTTCACTGTTCCATGTCTAAAATGACTAAGGTAATCAATATAGCACCTGTTATTCATTGTTCACTACATGACATTTTGGCAGAGATTGGCACAGTTGATGAAAAGAAACAGGCTCTAAATCGTAGCAAAACGCACTTCTTGTCATCAGTACCTCATGAGCATATGCCCAGATAAACTAGATTACAAGATCCCCTTTGTCCATCTGAACACACCAAAGTGGTTGTTACACCCTCAAAGCTGAAGATAATGGAAAAATAAAATGCAGGTCTCACCAGTGTTAATACAAAAACATAATCAGAAGAATCACAGAATCACAGAATTGTAGGGGATGGATGGGACCTCTAGAGATCATCTAGTTCAATCCCCCTGCCAAAGCAGGCTTCCTAGACCAGGTTGCACAGGTAGGTATCCAGGTGTGTTTAGAATATTTCTATAATCATTTCTTTTCTGTAGAATCTAAAAAAAAAAGAAAAAAGCGTGGCTACATTTGCATTTCAGAACAGATTGGAAGAACGCTTATTCTGCAAACCTCCTCATCACCACCTCTGATCATATTTTGGGTTAAACTTAGGACAGTCTTAGAGTATGGACACCAGATTCCTTTTGGAGAAAGGACAGCAGATGTGCTCCAGGAATGCATCCAGTGATCACAGCACTTTGTCCATGGCACCAGACTCAAGCTCATCCTGACCAGTCCTATCTCAGTGCCAATGTGTGCCAACTCACCACAAATGACTCACTTGAAAAGGCCCACTTTTATTGCACTGCTCTGCTCACTAACATTGATATGGTCTAGACACAGACTTTGGGCACTCAGCCAAGCACTTCAGATCTCCTTTGGCAAAGTCATTTGTCTTTTTGTAATCAACAAGAGAGGGGCACGTTTCTAGAATTCAAATGAGTTGACTCAGCTGCCTAACCGGGGTCCCTAGGCAAAGGGTGGGAGACAGGTAGGATAAATCTGACAGAGAATGCCCAAAGTATTTTGAGAGTCTACTTCCAAAATAGGGCTTTCCAATTTTCTTGTATTCCTTTAAATTAATTTACTACATGGACAAAGGCTTGTTTTTTGTTTTTTTTGTTTTTGTATTTTTTACTGGCCCTAAAGACGGCAAGAATGATGTGTGCCATTTGTCCAAAGTCTTAGTAATATTTTATTAATGTTTCACACTAATTTAAATTATTACCTCGAGAATTCCAAATCTGAACATGAAATTATATATGAGTACTGAACATGACCCCAATCCATCTGTCAAAACTGCTGTGTCCTCCAGCAACTGTTTTGTGCTCCTTTTTGAAATTCCCTTCCAGCTCAGAAAGAAAAAAAGAAGACATGGCTGCCCTTCTACAATAACCAACTCAGTGCTTCCAGAAAGGTGTAAAAAAACTGATCCTGCATCCCAAATAGACTCTCATATTCTGGCTGCCAGTAGCAATGACTGAGCCTTTCTAGGATGACTCATATTTTACATTACCTGGAGAACTGAAGTCTACAAAGGTATATGAGCAATTAAGACTTTAAAGCAGGCATAACAATCAGGATTATGCAAACTAAGCTAAAATTGCAGCAGACTCTCATGGTTCGAGGTCATTACAATCCATTTACTTCAGGTTCACTGCTTTCTGCTCCTCCCCATGCCACAAAATGACATTGGAACTAATGATGCTTGTTCCCACCTATCCTCTGAAGCATATAGCACCAGCTACTTTGTTCTGTTCCAAAGAGACAAATCAGAAGTGCAAGGCTGAGGCAAATTCAAATACATTTAGGACAGGAATTTTCACAAGTGCTAAGTATTGGCCTAATTCTTCTCTACTGAGTCAACTGCAGCAAAAGTAGGCCAAGACTGCTCCAGCAAATGACCTCAACAGGTGCACTTTAAAGAACTAAGAAAAGAGAGAGTCAAATATTATTTATAGCTACTGTATCTTAAACCCATAAACAGCACTTTCCTGAACTTATTATCTGTTTCTAGGAGACTTATCGTTCAAAATCCATTAAGGCAAATGTAGACATATGTACAACAGAAAGACTTGAAAAATATAAATGTACTGTCCTATGCTGTCCTGACTTGCACTGGTTCAAAATGACTTCTCAGCATCATAACTCACTTCCAGCAATTCTCAAAGCAATAAGCTTACAACAAAATCCCATGTCTCACAAAAGAAGAAAGGCAGAAATTTAGAAAATTCTGGAAGTCTGCAGTACTAAATCAACATTATGCAATTATTTTTGTTATGGCGTTAGAAGAAAAAGACAGCTGTTTCAGAGCTGAATCAACATCAAAAGTACATCTCATACTATCACTGTAGACAACAGAGATTTTGTGGATGGAAGAACAAGAACAACAGAAAGTCTGATGAAAGTCATGTAGACACAGCAAGTGCAAGACAGCAATCTAAGTCAGAGCTGCAAGCAACACAGTGACTTCCATTGAATTAAAAAAGAATTCACACTGAAACCTTTGCTCTGTATCTATTATTAAATTATTAGGTTACATTCACTGATGTCCACTTGGATAAAGAAAGCAATAATCTTTTCAAGTAACGTTTTCATGGCTTTCTCCGTCATACTTCAAATTGTCAGCTTTAATCTATCCAACAATCCCATTTGGCTCAAAAACAAAAAGAAAGAATTATATATAGGCAACAGATAAACCATGTACAGCTACTGCAAATGTCTTTTTTAGGAAGGTATTTGCTATTCCTGAATTACTGTAACATTCATACTGTTGAAAGGGACAGCACACAAATATATATAGATATAGATATATTTAGATATATACATATATATAAGGCAATCTCCTTTAGAGAAAGAAAACTTGCACATATAAAGTAGTTAGAAAGAAAGAAGTTACTAAAACTATCTTTGAAAGCAACAATTTAAACAAGTAAAGTAGCAGTAACAGGAAGCTTTTGAGACCCTCCCTCAGTTACATGCTGTCCTACACACCATACAAATCACAGCACTTGAGCAGACACTTTCATTGGCCACAGATATATACTATCTTCTGAGGTATTCTGTGAGGCAAAGGAACAGTTAGCTCCATCTTGCTTACTTCCTTAAGGAGGCTACTGTAGTAAGTAATTAAATCATACTAACTCAATGACCCAAGAGAGGAAAATTTAGTTCAAACAAAATCGTCCTACTTGTGTAATCAGAAGAGACACAGGGTGGGAAAAGGAGAAAACCAGACAAAGAACAAACATACTACATTTAACATTGGATTACTTTTCATGTATAATATTCATCACCTAGTGAAAGAACATCCTGCATGTTCCAAGCATAAAGAAAACAAATAAAAACAACAGCAACAAAATCATCAAAAAACCCCAAACTCAACCACCTGGAAACAATCCACTACCATGTATCCCAGGTAAGACACCAAGAAGAACATGCTTCAATGTCAGGTCTAGTCAGACTTTCCCAAAGCAAAGCAAGGATCTGCATTTTCAATAACCCTGGGGGCAAATAATTCAGTACCTGGTATTAGAAAGACCTTAAATTTAGAAATAGGTTAATATGCATCCTAAAATGTAAGTATAAGTAAAAATATCACCTTTCCATCATATCTACTGTTGAAATTGACTTTAATACTGCTTGTGACATAATTAATTTTAAACATCTAATCTTGACACTGTTGCTCCTCTCCCTAAGGAGATGTGAGAGATTGCATTTGTGTGAAACTTATTGTATATATATTCTAGACAGATATGATAAAAAAATCTTTGTGATGAGTTATGCAAAATATGTATTAGCAATGGCAGCATTATTATGTTAATTGGTTAGCTGCCATACCACCTTTTCAACCCAGCTTCTAATCACAGTCGAGAATATGACTGCATTTGCAAATACAACTGACCTAGCTCACAGCCATGTCCTAAGTAATTAATTCCTCATCTTCCCCAGCCCCTTTTGAAGGGATTCTTGCCCAGAGCCAGGCTGGCAGCTCTGTGCTCCTTTGCACAGGTTGCCAGAGGAATGGGGTTCCACGTGCCCCCTTCCAGCTCCACGTACAACTCACACACATGACCAAGATGCCACAAGCCTGGGGACCGCAGGAGCCACTTTGTAATGCTGGAACAGACAGGTCCACAGTCTTCCTGTCAGGAAAGTAAAAGCTACTGAGCTGTGATCAAACGCTATGCTGCGAGCACACACGCTGCACAGAGCAGTGCTAATGAGCGCTGGGAGGGCTGTCAACCTCAAGTAATAGAGAAGCAGCGAGACTCTTCACGATGGAAATGCTACTCATGCAGAGAAGGTTTCAGGAACCCAAAGACAAAGGATGATGAGGGAAGGGGAGTGAGAAAAAAGCTTTCTGTTTTCAGTAAGAAAAAGAGCAGGCATTCAATAACATTTCACAGTCTGTACTAAATCTTTGGAAAAGATCACCTGCTAATGGTCTCAGGGCTGCTATGAGAGGAAACGCTTACCATCAGAGCTTTGGCACAAGCACGGATGCCTCTCATTTTACTGTTATCTACTGTAGGTATTTAAAACTTTGCTTTGCTCACCGAAACAAAGATATTCCACTATTTCTCCAGGCTTATTCAAAAACAAAATACAAAACTCAACACTCATTGTTA